GAAGGAAGTAAAACGACCACGTTTGAAGAGTTAAAGCATTTAGTTTGTATGGAACAGTTTTATCGACTGATCCCCATACAAATGAGGTGGTTCGTTAAAGACAAGAAGATTAAACAAGTGTCAGATCTCGCGGCTTGGTTGGATGAGATGGAGCATGACTGGAATGTGAGTCATAGCTCAGGAGCCACCAAGAGACCGAGGGAATGGGTTCCAAAAGAGAAAACTGACGTGGGAAACCAAAATCCTGTCAGGAGGGACCGCATTCCAGAGATTGCCACAGGAAAACTTGTCTGTTACTTCTGCCATCAAGAGGGTCATAAGAAAACGGCTTGCCCTAAATTAAACACCCAGAAAAGGCCAATTACACCACCAAAGCCTGTTAAGGTGGTTAAACAAATATCTCCACACGAAGAAAGTCAGTCTCCACACGCACAGGAAGAGCCTGTAAAGATAATGCGAGTATGGAGTACTGAGAAAGAGACAAATGGAGATTATTTGAGGGTGATAAAAGTGAAGGGTCAAGAACTAATGGGGTTCAGAGACACTGGGTCTGAAGTATCGCTCATTAGGCCGGAGTTTGTCAAGGAAGACCAGATACTTCCAGGCCAAAAGTACAAGCTGAGAGGAATTTATGGCCCTGTTTTTGAAGTGTCAGTGGCTGAAATCCCAATAGAATACAAGAACTTCTCTGGAAAATGGAGAATGGGACTTTTTAATGATTTAGAAGTTCCAGTATTGTTAGGCAATGATTTGGCTGAGCGCTGTCGGCATGTTAATATGATTACCAGAAGCCAAGCTAAACTAGAAGAGGAGGCTGAATACAGTGTTGCTGATGAACAACCATCTACCTCACAGACAGAAAATGTCAGCCAAGAAATTCCCTTCAGTTTAGATCAAAGCCATATGAGACAGTTTGAAGCAGCCCAGCAACGTGAGGAAAGCTTAAAAACTTTATGGGATGAAGTGGTCCCAGAAAACCACACACCCACAAGTGAAGAACCAGTTGTGTTTAAAGTTGTGGAGAATAAATTGTACAGAGTTGTGAGGAGACAAAAGGGTCCCAAATTCTTTGAGGAAAGAACACAACTGATAGTACCACAAAGGTATAGGGCTAAAATCCTCAAGCTAGCCCATGATACCACCTTCAGTGGACACCTAGGTATTAAGAAGACCAAAGATCGCATCCAGTCTAGATTTTTTTGGCCAGGAATGGGAAGTGATGTGACAGCCTATTGTAAGACTTGTGAGACTTGTCAAATGGTGGGAAAAGCCAAAGATAAGACAAAAGGACTGTTACAATCCATTCCAGTTGTCACTGTTCCCTTTGACAAGGTCGGAGTGGACATCATCGGCCCTATGTCCCACAAGACACTTGATGGACATAGATTCATCTTGACTGCCGTGGACTTTGCCACACGATACCCAGAGGCAATTCCATTGAAGGAAACTGACGCCAAAACAGTGGCAGACGCGCTGCTCAACATATTTGCACGCGTGGGTTTCCCTAGATCTATCATTACAGATCTTGGAGCTACATTCATGTCGCAGATGATGCAAGAACTGTTCCGGACCTGCAAGATAAAGCATCTTACTTCTACTCCATACCATCCTCAAACCAACGGCTTGACGGAAAGATTCAACGGTACACTCAACCACATGCTGAAGGCGTACGTCCACAAGAACCCTAATGATTGGGACAAGAAACTTCAACACTTCTTGTTTGCCTATCGGGAGGTTCCACAAGCCAGCACCAAGTTCAGCCCATTTGAGCTGTTATATGGGAGAACACCAAGAGGACCTATGGACATTTTGAAGGAAACATGGACAGGAGCAGAGGACATTCCAGAGACTGATATCAACAGTTACATCGAGGACTTACGAGGACATTTAACAACCATGAGAGACTGCGCAGCCGAGAGTTTGTCAACTGCCCAGCTGAAGCAAGAAGAACAGAAAAGAGAAGAATGTGATACTGTGAGAAGTATACTGGCCGGTTGTAATTTGAGACTGAGTAGTAGGGGAAGGAGAATTGGAATTGGGTGAAGAGAAAAAAAAACAACTTTATTAACTACAAGGGCCAGACCAGATAACACATTGCTTAAAGAAGGTGTTATTGTAGAAAGGTATAGGATAGTGTATTGTTTAAGAATTGGTTAATCTGTTTAGATTGCAGTCTGGCAAAATATATGGGGAAATGTATATGTTTCATACAATAGGTATGATGTACAAATGTATTATTTTGAAGTATGCTAGGTAGATAGGTTTTGCTAATAGACAAATAGTATTTAAAAGTCATTATAGGAATATAGAAAGGTGTATATAGGTTGTTCATATAACAAAAAGAAATTCCTTCTACTGTGTTATAACCTTTATAGAGGACAGAAAGTCTCTTATTAATGAAATAATTTGTGTTTAGATACAGAGACTTAAATCTCTCCAGATTATTTAAACTTGTTCATAAGTTTAGGAGACTTGATGATAGTAGAAGAGTGATATATATAGATAAGAGTATTGAGATTATATGTACATAGAATGTCAGGAGACAATATGGGGCCAGATGTAAATAAAGTATAAACAATACTAGAGTGGCCTCATATAAATACTCAGAATGTCATCACAGATAATTTGTCCAGAGCCCTGAGTTAAGGTAAAGACTAGGATTGGAAAAAGGTATTGTATTTGCTATGTTAGATTGTTTATATGCATTGTTGCTATGTAATTAACATGTTTTCTTTTTACAGGAATGTATTTATGGTGTATATTGATTGCAAAATGTGTTTATTGCATATGTGTGTATTGCAAAATGTATTTAGAGATATGGGTATGTATATAGATAGATTAGATAGAGGGGTTAGTTAGACCTAGGATATTGTTAGGCTTTGCTTCAGAAGAGGTCTGCAAACCTCTTCACTCCGCAAACCGTCTCGAGGTGGGGAGGGAATGTAAAGATCCCTTACCTTGCCAGCCTGGATGGCAGGGCCTAGGAGAATCAGGCCAGTTGGTTGCAGCTTTGGTGGGCCTGGCAGAGGGCAGCAGTGGCCATTTTGGTTTAGGGAAAACACCATTTTAGAGAGGGGGAGTGTCCTAGGCCTGAGTTAGCATTAGAACAGCCAGGATTGGTTCAGAAAGGGGGCGGAGTTTAGCAAGGTTTGGAGGGAAAGAAGAGGGCTTTTTCAGTCAGTCTGTTGTTGTTAGAGATTAGAGTAGGAAGGTAGTTTTAGGAGTTCGTGTCTTAAAATTAGTTAAGAGAAGGCAGTTTGACTTAGGCTTGCCAGCAAAAGATAGCTGGATTTGTAGTTAGCTAGGCCACAGATTAGGGTAGCTAAGCTACAGTTGTATCTTGACAGAGATTCAGTTCCTGTCAAGAGTACTTGGTTTAAAGAGAAGAAAATCTCTGTGTTGTAACAAAGAAAGAACCATTTACATGTAACCATTACGCTTTAAAGACAAGCCAGAATTCTCTGTAACCACCAAGATTTTCAACAGCATTTACTTTCTTCTGTATTTTTCTATCAATAAACTTTCCTTGATATTTTTAAACTTAAGAAGCCTGAGTCCAGTGTGCCTTTGTGGCTATAGTCTCTTTTCCAGTTAACCTCAACTAAGTTTCCTTTATAGAAGCAAATAATAAGAAGACACAGTGCTTGGTGGTCTTAAAAGCCCTTTTATTATTTAAACAGCTAGGGTGTTCCTGTGCATTTCAGTTTATGGTGGCAGCGGAAGTTCAAGAGAGATATTCCCTCATAACATTTATATTGGTATCAATGAATTCTTTATATTACTGGGACAGTTGGTGGGATCTGTTTGCCCCCCTGTCAGTTATATATTAGTGGTGCCTCATATACGGAGCCTTTACAATCGGTGGCAGCGATGCGGGATTGATCAATAGCGATATCTTTATATCTGACATATTTCCTAGTGATTTAAGGGTATAGAGTGTGTCTACACTATAGAATTAATGCAGTTTGACACCACTTTAGCAACAATGGCTCGATGTTATAGAACCATGGGAATTGTATCATATATATTTCATATCTTCTATAAGTTTTACAGCATTTAGAATTGATCTCAATTTTTCAACATGCAAGACAGTTTTTTATATAGTCCAAATATATCCCTATATAAAACAATGGGGTTTTTTTTTTACCAACGACAGCTTCTGATCCTGTGGACCCATGTACATACAAGGAATTTTTAGTTTCATAGAACAGATGAAAACACTTGCACGATTGCAGCTCTATGTTGTACCCACTGTCTTTCAAGTTAAATCTCCACTCTTCCAGGCAATTCCTGAACATGATGTAGTTTCCCAAAATGATGACTAACCGAGTTGTATTTTGTGGATAAAAAAAGAACTTGAGCAAAATTAGATTATTCACATTTTCTTCAGTGTTCCAGCTTTTTCTTATTCAATTTTCCTTTCTGGAATCCGTGACAGAACTTGCAGTGAACAACAGAACTAATTTCCCCAGTAGGTTCCCCAGCAAAATAAACATATGAAGCCCCATGAACTTGAAGTTCACTGGGAAAACATGTTATATGGATCCTCTAGAGAACTGCTAAACACATTCCTTCTGGTAGAACCTTCATGTTGTTTACCATGGTTGACAACCATATACAAATAGTAAAACACTCAGAGAGACATAATTTTTCTGAGTGAACAGGTTGGAGCAAGGGAGGGATGAAAACCTATTGCCCAGGTTAGTAAATTATTTTTATTTTCCTTACAAAAACCCAATTACATGTAGACAAATTTGAAACATGTGCAAGGTTTCTATAACACTAGCAATTTGGGTTTTATTTAAAAACCTTACTGATAGTATCTAACAAAAAGCAATGTTATATTATATGTCGATAATAAATAAATTTAGAAGCACTGATCACTGCGTGAAACTAACATAATGATCCCACTACTGAAATACCATCCAGCTAACCACCATTTCTGCAATCTGCACTGGCCATGCATCTTGCTGTTTGTATCACTAAAGAAGTCATCCTACCTGCTTGTAGACATTCCCGTTTATGACGTTCGTTCCAAGACTTCAATTTACAGGACTTGCTGCAGCTGTAGGTTTCATAACAGCGTGAGCAAGGTACGAGATTCACACCAACGGATCGCCCACAGTGGTAGCAATATTTAAAGAAGGGCAACCTGCAACATGGAAATGTTGTAAAAAGCAATGTCAGAGACATTTACATGTGTTAATGCATTCAAAATTAACACAGCAAGTAGTCATGTGGATTATAACGAATAGAGAAATGTAACTTATCTGTATAAGAAGTTATACTGCTGTTAGCCCTCTACATCCAGATTCTCTACCTATGGATTCAACCATCCGAGGATTGGAAATATTTTTTTAAAATTCAAAAGACAATCCTTGATTTTTGCCATTTTATATAATTCCTTTCCTGCTCAAAGCATGAGGGCCAGGAAGAGCTTTGCTCCCTTACAGTGAAGGGCAAGCAAAGTAGTTCCGCTGGGACTACCTGTGGGCGGGGACAGGTAAGTGCGCTCCTTACCCTTCCTCCTCATTCCCTCGTCGTTGTCCAAGTAGGAATTCCCCCCTGCCCCCCCCCCACACACACACTACATTCTGGGGGGGGGGGTTGCCTGCCCTACACCATTTAATCCATGGCAAATTGGGTGTGTGAGTGATAAATAGGTTTTTACACAAATAAGAATAGGGATATGAACATATCAGTATGTACCACGGCACTCCTCTGGGCTGGAGGCTACAAAAAGGAACCTTCATTCATTATTAAAGGACTCGAGATGAGGGTGAGCAGGAGTGGCCTTGAGTGGAGAGAGTCATGGACTGAATTCTCCACTCATTTCCCTGAAGGGTCACCTTGGGAGCAACATTGGGTTACATAGGGGAACCGTTGTGTCTCGCCATTGTTGGAGGTTGAGGTGGTCTCCGATGGCTACTGCCTCGCTTTATTACACACCAAGTTCAAGTGTAAGTTCAAATTCAAATTCATGTTCAAGTACATGTTTTATGTCCTGAATTGGCTGGTAGATCACACAGAGATTGATCGGCAATATATAACAAAAGTTGTTCATATTTAACCCACGCAAACGTGTGGTCTCTGGATTGGTGGGAGAGCAAGGCACATCATTACTACTGTACTATGCCCCAGCAGATACCAAGACTCCAGAGTATTCAAATATACAAAAGTGTGAAATAGTGAAGTTTTCCTTGGATGTCAGTAATATCACAACAGATAATTCTCACACCATATCTGTGTGTCAAAGTATCAATATGGAAGTCTAGTAGTGCGTAAATCCATTAACAGAATGAACTCTACACAGAAGATATAGGGCCTGAGAACTAACCAAAATTTTGACAAATGTTCAAAAATATGTTGCAAAAATAAACAAAGTTTTTAAGGCAAGGAAATGTTAACAAAGAACAAAGCAGTGCATTTTGAGAGAGATGACTATTTGCCCACTCAAAAAAGTGTTCTTCCAGACAATAGAATGAAAAGACAAATCATTGTATAGATTATAGTAGACTATTAAAGGCAATCTGAACTGAGTTATATTTTAGTGCGCTGAACTTACTTTGATGCTTCTGTTTCTGACACGAGTCCTCCTCCCACTGTAGATTTCCTTTTCGCTGCTGCATGACAATAAACACATAAATAGCACAACTGACTTAAGGCCAAAGTAACACAGTGGATTCAATGCTGAACTTCGATAAAATGTTTCTTTGTTATTTCAAACCTTTCAGCAAAGTTATTTGATCTTTTAACAGCAATAAAGGAACAGGTCCAGCCAGATTTTATATTTATTTGGATCCCGATTTTCTCCTAAAATTGAGAGTTTAAGCAGCTTACAATTTTAAAAAAGGACAATGCAACTGAAAACATGCAAAGAATGAAAATTAAAATAGATGTGGCATTTCAGCAATTTAATCAAACGCTTAAAAATATAAAAAAGCAAATAAAATGGTAAAGCTGAAAACCCTCAGTACATTCTTTTCAAATGTACTAAGGGAAGGATCCCTCCTGAGAATACTTTTACATCTCTTGTTTAGCATATTTAGACATTAATATTTCATTACTAAACATTGTAATCTCAATCTAAAATTAGTACCAGATCTATACGACAGATGGTTTAATCCACACTCACCAAACTTTAATTTTCGAAGTTCCTCTCTATCCCATTGCTTTTCTTTCAAAATGACAGCCTCCCGAAGCTTATCACTCAAAAACTCAAGCAATTTTCGCCGAGCACTAAAATGTTCCCGCTCTATTGGGGAAAGAGCATGGTAGGGGGTGTGCAGCATTCTTTTATCCTGCAATACATAAGGATGCATGATGCCACAATGCCATCAGGGGAAAAACTGACTTTCTTACTGTTGGAAATAACAACCTTCTTCAAGCCTCCTCTAGTAATCTGTATGTATATAATTCAAATTGCTTACTGTGCTGTATATGTGTGTATTGGTATGCAGTTTTCCTTAACTCTATGTTGAGGGAGGGGCTAAAGACCACATGATCAGATCGGGGACTGCCCTGATCTCAGACTTGATTTTATAAGTCAATAGAAACAGAATGCTTTAGAGAACTTGCTGTTTAAACTGTCAACCAACAAGCAATGCACCTCTACTCTTTACTTTATTTTTGGTCTCTTGAGAGAATGATTCCAAGATGTTTTAAAGGAGAGTAGATGTTTTTGGGCAACTGAAAAGAACACTTCTGAAATTCTGCTGTTTTTTGTGCATTGGCATATCTTTGTTCCTAACATTTCAAAGCGATATCTAGGTATATCAGCCTAACAGCTGAGAAACCCAATTGCCTTGCATGAATACTAGTGGATATTTACCACTAAGGAGAAGGTTGACTCAAGCAAGTTTTTAACTCTTCTCAGGAAGATCATACTTTACAAAAGATTGTGATTTCTAACAAGGTAATGCTTTTCCAAAAGTTACGATTATTTCAAATTGTGTGAATGCCAATTAATCTTCAAAAGGGTCACACTTCCAAGTCTGTGGAGGTTCCTGGTTTTCCCAAAAGATTATGAATGCCATTTTCCAAAACTTACTGTATTAGCAAGGAAGGTGCCCGAAAATGGTGTAAGAAAATCAGAATGAAATAAGTAAGGATTGGCACTGAAACTGTAAAATGCGTCCTAAATTGCTGCTTTTTTTATTGAACAGAATTTAGTTCGCTTGCTTTGTACTTAATCATTTTCCTAATGCAAGATGTACATGTTTAAAAGCAAAAGCAGCATCTATCATTCTATATATTCATGCATGGTGTAATTTATTATCAGTATCGCTCATCTGCTACCATGTGTGCAGTGTTGGGCATATGTCTTTAAACATACAATTGAGGAATAAGTCTGTACTCCCAGTTTATTCCTTTTCAATGCTGTCCAGTTCTATTAATCAATAGGTGAACATCAGAGAGAGAAATGAAGTAAGACAAACCTTTCAATGGAAGAACTACCTTGTTTCAGTTCATTGATCTCATTTCACAGGGCCCAAGGGTTACACAAGCAGACCCTTTGCTGGTATCTCCATGTTCAAACTATCTACTATCTATCCCCTGTAATTACAGTTGTTTGATTCCCAAGCAATTATCACCAAATCTTAATCATAACGTAATGTAAAAAATTAAAAAGCACATATCTAACATTTTAGGTCTCTCTTTTATACTCTTCTGAATTGCAGAATTTGGACAAAAAAGTGACCATGCATCAAAAATTAGTTAAATTTTCTGAAGTCAGATTGTAAGACACTTTTTTTTTCAGGGAAATAAGGAGTCACTGGAGACCATGGCATTTCTCAGCATTTGAATGAATAGCTGAAGTTCATAGTTTGGTTGAAGGATGGGGTATAAATAATACACTAAACAAACAAACACCACACCACACCATAATTTTCAATGACACTGGTGTGCTTTAAAAAGCAGTTCTAAATGGCGCTTTTTATCTCAATGCAAATAACAGTTTCAAGGAATCCATTTTTAGTTAGGAGTGCAGAGTGTGTGCATTTTTATTCCTCATCCACAGCTGTCATAAGCCAGTGATTTAGTGTGTGCGCGCACACACACTATTACCAATACTACTACTTGCTTTAAAATGGAAAAATACCTGTAATGTCACACTTTAGTCCTACCCTAGAGGTGCTTTAAAATTGAAACTACCTCCAACCACTGATTTTCTAAAATGACTGTTATTCATAATATATCATACTATAAGGAGGGATTTTCATTTGAAGTACGGGTTCATTTTCTTCCCAAAGGACAACTGCTGATTTAGATCTTTGTAAATTTTTGCTGAAATAAAAGGTCAATGGAAAACTGGATCTGATCTCTCAGGAAAATGAGCAGAGATGCTAAGGCAAGTGTGGAACTGTGTGACCTCCAGGAACATGAGGCTTGACAAGACAATATTTATGGCCAACTGTTTGGAGAGAGAGAGGGATAAAGACCCAAATCACTGGATATTTTCTGCAAGTCCAATTCTCACCCAAAACAAGTTGGAAAAACATCCACAGACTTTCTGATTCAGTTGCCCATCCCTTCACTACAGCATCAAGAGAATCAGCAGCCTTTAACCTGAATGCCTTTATTGATAACAGAAGCAGGTAATTAATTTTACTATAATTATGAAGATAATACCTGGTAATATTTGTTATGCGTATAGTCCACTACTGTTCCCACTGCATTTCTTGTCTCATCCCCAATAGTAATTGGCATTAACATATCTGCACCAGCTGCTAGCAGAGTATTAATCTAGGAAGACAGAAAAAAAGTATTTCAATGAAAAACAAATGCTGAACACCAAAAGTATCATACAGTTATTCTCCTGTGAATACTGAATACCCAAAGCAGTACAGAGCATCAACATGGAGGTCAAATAAAGAGATCTTATCTGAACAATGAAATCCTTCTCTACAACCAGCTGTTAAACTGTATCTGAGTTCATATAACTTAAGACTCACTCAGTAATTCTTTAGATCAGGGATGAATAAAAGTGAGTTTTGGGACTTTTATCTATCTCTAAAATAGGGTTAAAATTAAGAGGTGGGTAGGAAACATACAGCCTTCCAAATGTTGTTGGATGGCAAAGCCTAACAGTCTTAGGCAGGGGAGTAATGATAAGGAATGCTAACAGCTATAGTTCAATGATTTCTACTACGGGGCTAAATGCACATTTCACCCCAACAAGCATAGATCCACTTAACCAACAGGACTTGTCAAATGAACACAACACTAGTCCCACGGATTCTTTGCATCTGTTCTAATTGAGACTAATAATGGGATTTAGTCCATAGACAAAGATATAAATACTCTAGAGAGCTATAGGCATCTAGTCATGCAAGTATTTTTGTTGTTATTACTATATGAACTTAAGCAATTTCTTTTTAACCCACTATTGTGGTATCTTTTTCCTCTGCCTGTGCAGCTGCTCATAGAGTTCTCTGTACTACTAAAGATCTCTCTAAATCCTTCAGTCTATTAAACCTTCCTCCTCTTCTCATTTTACTCAACAGCACACTCTGGACAAAATCCAACTATTAACCCAAGTACAGTAGGCCCACAGAATCAATAAACCTTATGTAAGTGTTGACTTAAAGTTCCCACTGATTCAGTAGGTTTGATCTACTTGCAACTAATAACTGGACTGAAATCAAGATCTCTCATCACTCCAAAGGACATGTTCTGCAATACTAAAACTTTGTTCCCCAATTTACTCCTTTTTCTTCTTTTTCTTTTATGCTACTACACTTTTATCTGCCTGCACTGCCATGGACCTTTGGTGTCCTCGGGTTTTCTTTAGCTGTTGCCACCCACACAACTCTTTGGGAAACTAGTATCACAGTGTGTTTCATTTTTCTTACCAAAGTCATTTTGTTTAGAAATGATCGATTTTGTTCATATGCAGGATTAGTAACAGCACACAAGGCACTTCCAATAGGCTGGCTTAATGGGAGATTTGGATCAGCTCCACCAGCTAGAAGCTCAGCCACTGCCTGAGAAAGAAAGAACCGCCCAGGAAAAAACTCTTTAGTACAAACATTTTGCAGCACAATATGATCTAAGACTAAAAAAATAAACTCCCAAAATTCTTGTCCTCTCCCTTAAACCGCCTGCTCACTGCGCGAGCACGATCAATAGAAAGGCAACACTCCACTGAAAGATGGAGAAGTTTCATAGCAGAATTAAGAGCCCTTGTTCTTACTTTGGCAGCAAAATATGAGACTGAAACAATCCCAAAGTAAGAGAAAGCGCGGCCATGGTGGAAGCAGTCTATATTCATAGAATCATAGGGTCGGAAGATACCACAAACTTCATCTAGTTCAATAATAATAATAATAATAATAATAATAATAATAATAATAATGACCTCAAGATCATGTTAGAAAACCAAGTATGGATCATTGATGTTGCAATCCCAGGCAACAGCAGGATTGAAGAGAAACAATTGGAAATGCTGACACGATACAAGTATTTAAAGATTGAACTGCAAAGACTCTGGCACAAGCCAATCAAGGTGGTCCCAGTGGTGATTGGCACATTGGGTGCAGTGCCCAAAGACCTCGGCCTGCACTTACAATCGGTGCTGACAAAATTAACATCTGTCAGCTGCAAAAGGTCACCCTACTGGGATCTACACACATTATTTGCCGATACATCACATAGTCCTAGACACTTGGGAAGTGTCCAACGTGTGATCCAATACAACAACCAGCATAGTGATCTTGTTTGTTGTATATTAATTTTGTTATGTTTCAAATACTACTAATAATAAAAACTTGATTTATATTCTGCCCTAACTCCCCAGGTCCAGGAGGACTCAGGGCAGATTCCAACATACAACGGCAAACACAAAAAGAACTCAGCTACTTAGCAAACTCATACATCTCTTTTCCTTCCCAACACTGAACTCAGAATGAAACACTGAGAAATGTCCCCATTGCTCCCTGAACAAATTAAGAATAGCAACAGCTTTCTAATATCAGAAGGGCTTATTATAACACTTTTTTCCTCACAAGACATTAATGATCCCAGGTAGAGCATCATAAGCAAGACCAGCGAGCAACTCCCTGAGTGACCTGCATGAAGGTACATACAAAGCGTTCCAGCATCACACTGCAAAGCAATTCAACTATGGAAGTTTCCATTTTGGCCACTGCCAGATCACAGTATCAAGAACGACTCTCATGTAGCAATGTGGAAAACACTCATTTCATCTAATCATGAGTAATCAGAGGGCTTTAACAACACTCAGTTACTTATCTCAAATAGTTCAGCAGCTAATGTTATCAACTATCAATTCTACCCAAAATGTCAAATATCTGGGCCCAACCATCCAATTTAATGCTCAAAACAAAAATGTTAGTGGCCCAATTATAAATAAGTCACAGTATAAAGCTTCTGTGGTTGCTTTTCTTTTCAACCAACAGATTATATGAAACAAGCCCAAAAAAGCAAGAATGGGTTTTTGGCATTTTAGACAGGAAATTTTCCTTTGCTCCTGCTTAAAGCAGCAAGCCTTGGAGGTTAACCTATTTTGTGTGAAAAGAAAACTCCCACTACCACCAACAGGAAGAACTTTCCATCCACTAAAAATACCAGATATTAGGAGGTAGCTGATTTTGATTGAAAACATAATGGGGATCAAGGGCTAAACTTTTCTCTCCATGCCAAGACTCTAATTTAAGTAGTCTCTCCCTCTGCTCTCTCTCTCCCACCCCTCTCCCCACTCCCTCCCTCCCTCCCTCTCTCTCTCTCTCTCTCTGTATATATGTATATATGTATATATGTGTGTGTGTGTGTGTGTGTGTGTGTGTGTGTGTGTATATATATATACACACACACATACGCGCACACACATGCATACATATATAAATACATACAGAGAGATACATGTAAAAACCTGGCTGTAAATAAATAATTTCAAATGTGTTTGGCCCTCTGGCTCTTTCTCCTGCATTCCCTTCATTTGCTTTTTAACTGTATTATTGACGTTTGTATCAAAATACTTGGAAAACCATTTCATAGAGCTATCTATAAAATATTTATAATATTTGCTGCAGTGATATTTTCCTAAGTCAGTGTCCAGGCTCCAGAAAGATTTCAGCAAAGGATACTGAAAGTATGTAAAGATATATACATTATTGATTTCTACCTTTTCTGCCCTTCAGAAAATCTTTATTATAAGCACTCACTTTATGCATTAATATCTTTAGATATTGTATCTGATGCTGGTTACTATTTAAACAGGAGCTGGAATCATCCATCTAAGTTTGCTCAGTAATCAAAATTATATTTAAAACAATATTCTCAGCTCTTTTCAAATAAGCTATATGGAGAGACGGTAGGAGAAAATGTTGCATACCTGATCATTTCCAGTAGCAATAGCCAATGAAAGAGGAGAATGGCCACTCCACAGGACATTTGGGTTTGCACTGTGTTCTAAAAGAAGGCGAACAATTTGAGCTGCATTCTGGAAATGCAAGAATAAAATAAACTGGGTCAATAACAAGAAATCATGTTGTTGTTGTTGTTTTTAATTTTAAAGGAAAAACAAAGCAAACGAGTATATTTAAAATGACACATATTAAAGCAAAGGCATCAACACATTCCATAACATAAAAGGAAATACTGTTGTACTAATGTTGGACACTTGTCTGCAGTATGTCCATTATGCAACAATTGCAGATTCCAAGGCATAACCCCAACAATGCAGACTTAACAAAGGTAACAGTCCAAGAGTAACTGCGTCAAGAATGTGTTGTCGAAGGCTTTTATGGCCGGGATCACCAAGTTATTGTGAGTCTTCCAGGCTGTCTGGCCATGTCCCAGAAACTTTCTTTCCTGATGTTTCGCCCACATCTATGGCAGACATCCTCAGAGATTGAGAGGTCTTTTGGAAACTAGGCAAGTGAGGCTTATATATCTTTACGTGGGAGAAAGAACTCCACAGGTATATAAGCTTCACTTGACTAATTTCTAAAAGACCTCTCAACCTCAGGGGTGCCTGCCATAGATGTGAACAAAACATCAGGAGAGAATGTTTCTGGAAAACTCACAGCAAACCAGTGGCAAGAATGCCCATTGTGTCTGTTAAGCATGTTTACACATTACAAATGCAAACTCTCTGTCTTAAATCCAACTGCTAGTTCCAGCTAGAGAATACTCAGTGTATTAACTCCAAATCCTACTATTCAATCTTTCTATTCTAGTTAGGGCAAACAATCAGATTTAGGTTTCATCTTTACCTTTGCCAACTACAAGATGACACCATAAAATGGTAAACTGCATTTGCACATGTTTATCTCATAATCTCTTTACCTCTGTCTTCCCTGCCCCTCTGGGCACAATACAGACCCAGGCCAGAATCTTGCGTGGGAGTTATGCATACATAAGCACCAAAGTTGTAGTGATATGCAATGACTCCCACCATGATACATCCCTCAGAACCCCCACCCCTTACCAGGCAGAAGCCACTGTGATCAATGGGGGTTAGCGAATGACCTTCTTACCTCCTCCCAGGAGTGATCTTCAATGAAATAGGCAGAAACAGACCCCTGTTGCAATTCCCTCACACTGGAAATTGGTAATGGGGGTGGGCATCAGTTATTGTGTCCCAATCAACATGGGAACAGATCCCCATTGATCACTGATCACAGCACCTGCCAAGCACTAAGTAGGACTTTCAGAGCTCCTATTATTCCCTAAAATTAGGGGATAAAGTATCATGAATGTGTATCTAATGACTACAGGTAAAGATATTTTAGCCCTGTGGTCTTTTGATCTGGGTCCATAACGCAGAATGCCTCAGTGGTTTGAAAAGAAGACTGCAAGTGTTTGGGCACTTTTTTTTTCATTTTTGCATACTTTTGCAAAGGTATCTTTGAACAAATACAATATTTTTGCACGTAAAAGCAACCTAAATGAGGATGGGTAGCAATGGCCTCTTTGGTTTCCCACAAGAGCAAAAGATCTCATAAAAGTTGCCAGTTTTTTCAACAGGGTGTCTCTCTCCTGAAACACTATTGAACATCAAGGACAAGAACATTTGTAAATATTCTTCACAGCCATATTCTTTCATTAGTCACCACTACTCCGCTTTCTCAATATTACTCTATTGCTCTGTTTATTACATCTTACTTCTCTCTAAGCTGCATCTGCCTTGGAGGTCTACGGTCAGACAGAAGTTTAGAGTTTAACTAAATAATAAATGAACTCTGGCAGAAAGATTTCTATGCCGCTTTTTGAAAACGATTTAGGGCACCTTGACTATTAACCTTCAGGGTGTTATGGAGAAGCAAGAAAAAGAAACAAAGCTTTTAGGCAAGGCAAAGCTTTTTGACCTGTTTATCTTTCCCACTTAAACCTTGAACCTGACAAGCTGACCAAACATAAAGAACAAACATTTAGCATCACCAGATATTGATGTTGCTATTCAAATCAATGGCAGGCAAACTTTGTCAGAATAATGGACAAACAATGGCTTCGGACCAGAGAACCAAAGAGCCAGCTCCTCACATGACTGAGGAGGCTTTCAGCTTGTACTTCTTGAACAGCAGTATTTCATCCCACTTAGCAAACAAACCTGAGTTTGCAATCTCGTACAATATTGTATAGGAGCTTTTACTTAAAAATAGACACCCATACTAAAACTCTGAATTCTGTCCCAAAATACAAGGTTGCATATGTTTTTTCCTCCTTGTAGAAAAAGGGGTTTAACATCTCATTAATACATATATGACAAAAGAAAGTGGGTCTCTTTTCAGAAGTGTTACAGCAGATATCAGTGAGTCTTTCTTCAGAAGTGTTACATCAGATATCTCACATGGGAACCCCTGATGACACAATGGGTTAAACTCTTGTGCCAGCAGGACTGAAGACTGACAGATCGGAAGTTCAAATCTGGGGCGAGTGCAGATGAGCTCCCTCTGTCAACTCCAGCTCCCCATGTCAGGACATAAGAGAAGCCTCCCATAATGATGGTAAAACATCAAAACATCCAGGCACCCCCTGGGCAACGTCCTTGCAGACGGCCACTTCTCTCACACCAGAAGCAACTTGCAGTTTCTCAAGTCACTCCTGACACAAAAAAAAACTCTCTCATCTGTTGTTGAATTTTAAATTTTGCCATTACTTATATGTAAACCGCTTTGAGTCCCCCTCGGGGTGAGAAAAGCGGTATACAAATACTGTAAATAAATAATAAATTGTTTGAAACTGCATTATATGGTCAGTGTATCAGACTGATCCTGCAGAAATATAACTTCAGAGAAGGATTTATAAGTCAGCCCACAATTTTACCAGACTCTGCCTACACAGGGGCTAAAATAGAACAAAGAGAGAGTAAGATGGAAGAGGGAGATTCATCCAACTACGATATTAGTCAAGTTATGTAATTACAACCTACAATAAAGTGTACATTTCATACAACATTTTTGGGTGATAGACAGCAAAATATAAGTGGAATCAAGCCTACATTTTCTATTGGGACTTGAAACTTTAATAGTTTCAATCCAACACCTTAAAAAAAGAACTAAGATTGTAGCCCTAGGTGCAGTCTGGGAAGAGGTTCCCCTAAACCCACTACAATTTATTTCTAAATAGAAATTGAATTCTACTACTAATTGTTGTAAACAAAAATCTACCATAATTACACAATTAATTATATATAAGAAGGTAAGAGAAAGCTATCAACTTTTTAATTATGTAAAAAGTTGATAATAGTGCAAAGTAAGGATTCTAAGCCAACAAACAACTCAACTTACAGCCTATTAAATGGACTTTCTCAGTTCTGTTAATTACATTCAATCATCAAATGTAATTAACAAGTAAAAAACTTAAATTGTTCAATGGGAAAACTCTAACTGATTTCCAGGTGGTTTTTATGTTACTGTTGTTTTATGTTACGTTTTCATGTTTTGTAAGGCATTGAAATTTGCTGTGAAGATGTGGGAAACTGCTTTGAGTCCCCCTAAGGGTGAGAAAAGCAGTATAAAAATGAAGTAAATAAATAAATACATTTTCACTATTTACCAGTTTCATATCCTTACATTTTAACCCCATTCCTGTTTATTTGGGAATTCACTAGCTAGAACATCCACACCGAATCTCTATGTATTTATCCTTAGTTAATTTTAGTATAGGCAAATCTGGCTTAACTGAATCTCTAGAAAGAAGCTCCCTTTTCTGCTTGCCTATCCTCTTCCTTTTCCTCCTCATCCACTATTTTCCTCCTCATCCACTATTTAGCTGGACATTTGCAACCATATTGGTAATCGAAGGATGATGGCATATCTACACTACAAAACTAATGCAGTTTGACACCACTTTAATGAATCGTAATTTGGTGAGGCACTAGCAACATTTGGCTGAGGGTACAGATTTCATAACAGTTCCCATGATTCCATAGCAATGAGCCATGGGATTCTATTCCAACTGATGCAATTAAATTGTGTGTAACTTACTACAACTGTAACCCAAACACACTATTATAAGTAAACTGATGACTCATCATTTGAGCAGGGAAGGTCACCTCACCTACTATTTGAAAAGACACTTCCTCCCAAATTGGTTCAACCAAATGGCTGATTATGGGAATTGCAGTCCAAAAAACACCTAGAGAGTCACAGTGGCCCCCCACTACTATAACCACTCTTTGTTTCCTTCTGCAAATTCCTCTCCCCTCTTTCCTGCATGGAGGGCACTACAAAGACTATTTCTCAATGTAAAATCTGGTTTGGCCAGCAGCAAGCACAGAAATGAAGAAGGCATTTTAATTAACATTAGGTCGCACCTTCATTTTGACATCTGGTTTTGTCCTTATGTAGTTTGTTCCAGAAGCAACACAGATGGTTTAAACAATATAGTACAGTACAATAAGCTATGAATCCACCATTTGCAAGAAGGTGTGGAACAGAGGAACATCTAAAGGGGCTACAGCTTCAGAATCAAACTTAGGATAGTAGAAGCAGCCCAAGGAAATTCCCCACAAAAAAAAAATACTACAAAGAGCACTCCCTATAGAATACTACAAAGAGCACTCCCTACTTTGCCTATTAGTTGTCTCAGGTGTCTTTAGAAAACAGACAATTTCTCAATTCAGCTAGACAGACTCTAGTTTTATAGAATATTATTTCTGCATTTGGCTGGTTAAGAATTAAACAAGTTATTTTTGCACTGGGAGAATGGCTATCTGTTCATTTTCTCCACAAAATAAGTGCTGATTGCTATTAATATGGTAATTTGTCATAACTAAGCACTCAAAATCTCCCTGATTGGAAAAAAAGGATGTTGTCTTTCAATTTCATAGAATGCTATGGGCCTCTAGTGGTCAATTTCTTACATTACTTCGCTGTTGTCTTTTTTCTCTTTTTCTGTAACTCTAATTCAATGTTATGTGTTAGGCAGTGGTTCTCAACCTGTGGGTCCCCAGATGTTTTGGCCTTCAACTCCCAGAAATCCTAACAGCTGGAAAACTGGCTGGGATTCTGGGAGTTGTAGGCCAAAACACCTGGGGACCCACAGGATGAGAAACACTGTGTTAAGGTATCCTTCTAGTGGTTGATACATGTTTACATGTGTGGGATAGGGGTGAGAAAAGCGGTAGATGAATACTGTAAACAACAACAACAACAACAACAACAATAATAATAATGTAGACTCTGCAAGGAAGCAGATGAAACAATAGATCATATCCTCAGCTGCTGCAAGAAGATCACGCAGACAGACTATAAGCAGAGGCATAACATCATTGCTCAAATGATTCATTGGAACTTGTGCCACAAATGCCATCTGCCTGCGACAAAGAACTGGTGGGATCACAAGCCTGAAAAAGTTACAGAAAATGAACACGTCAAACTACTCTGGGACTTCCGAATTCAGACTGACAGAGTTTTGGAGCACAATACTCCTGACCTCATGATTGTGTTAAAAAACAGAGTGTGGATTATCAATATTGCAATCCCAGGTGACAGAAGGATTGAAGAGAAACAACTGGAAAAGCTGACACGATACGAAGATTTAAAGATAGAACTGCAAAGACTCTGGCACAAACCAGTAAAGATGGTCCCAGTAGTGATCGGCACACTGGGTGCAGTGCCTAAAGACCTTGGCCTGCACTTAAACACAATTGACACTGACAAGAATACCAGCTGCCAGCTGCAAAAGGTCACCCTACTGGGATCTGCACGCATTATTCACCGATACATCACACAGTCCTAGACACTTGGGAAGTGTCTGACATGTGATCCAATACAACAGCAAGCGAGTGATCTCGCTGCTTGCTATGGATTCATCTTGTTGTGTTTCAAATAATAATATAATTTTATTTCTTACCCACCCCAAGGCAGGTTACAACATAGCTAAAAATACATAATCATCATAAACATTATAAAATACACATATTAAAATGTATTTCTACAAACAGAAATATTAAAATACATAGAACAAAGCTTAAAAGATAGTGACGCAAGTTTAAAATTCATGATTAAAACTGATAGTAACGATAATGTTCACCCATGTTCATAAAAGGAAATTCAAAAGGAAATCCACTCATGATGGGCAATGAGAAACAACTAATGAATTTTTAAGCAAACATTTAGCAAGTCCTGTTGATGCTTGTTTACACACAGTAACTTTCAACAGTAGCAAGAGAGTAAAAGAAAACAAAGAGTAAGATAAAGAAAAATCCCTCCATGACACAAAATTACATTTTTGAGAACCGAAAACATTAAGTACTGCTCTACCAGGATGGCTTTCTTCACTTGAGATCTCTGAATTTTTTGCAATGTAATGAGAAACAAACACATATATTTTGTGACTGACCTCTGGTCACAATGGAGGATTTAAAGATTCCTTGAGAGAACATCTCTCTAGAAATTTCCAGATGCCCCAGTGCAATTCTGTGGTCAGCATAAATTGACCACTGAGTCATGCTGGAGGATCTAGACCTTCCTAGAGAGGTGTTCTCTAAGAGAAAAAGATAGCAATTTCTTTATTTGATTTTTTTTTCACTTTCACAGGAGTCTTGTGCCTGTAATCCCAACAAATGTGAAAGGCTGACAGTGACTGTTCATACAGTAATACAATTCACTGAACACAATTAAATTCTTAACAGGACCAAATTCTGTCCCCTTGCAATCTGGTGGGAACATATTCACTGCATATAAGCTGTCAATTCTTCAAGTAAATGTAGTTGAGGATCAGCAATCTTATATCTTGAAAGAAATAGCTATTTTTGAGGTTCATAACAATTTCCCCCAACAAAAAGAGCAAGTTTTTGACATGGAACACTATTCCATGGAATTGAATACACAACACAGACCCAACTGCAAGACTGTATTGTGCCAGTTGTCCTGCTTGTACTACTCCATTTCAGAACTGAAAGTTGTGCTGAGAGACAAGGAGGAGGATATTGTGACTGGTATTTCATCTTCTACCTAGCAGGCTATTTTCTCCTGTTAGATTTACACAGTGTGTTTTAACACATAGCAAATAATAGCTTTGCAATTTTTATTTTCTTTCACATTTTACTACCAGCAAGATGACAGGAAATATGTTTAATGATATTTTCAGTTACACCATTTAAAGCACCTTAAAATGTAAATAAAGAATATTTATGAGATATGGAAATCCCATGTTCAGACCTGAACGAAGTATTTAGATAGCCTAATACCTTTTTATATTATTGTGCCGTAGATTTGATATGTTCAGGATGGCTTCTATTACATTATGTAACACAGTTTTTGTTCCTGGATTATAAATGTAATTTCCTAATTGGTTCTATCATAAAAACATGGAAAGTTTTTTAAACAGCAAAAACTTTGGGTTGCTGTGAGTTTTCCAGGCTGTATGGCCATGGTTGATTCTTGCCTGGAATTCCCCTGCTTTTTGAGCGTTCAGGGGAATCAGGGCCAGCTAACACCTCCCAACAAAGGATTCCCCAGACAGCAATCAGCCAGGCTCTGAAGCTGCAAGGCCATTAAATGCTCATCATGGTGGCCAATTGTAACATTCACACTTGTCTCAAGCAGACAAGAGTTCTTTTTCCCACCCTGAACATTCCACAGATCTATAAACCGCACTTGTCCAGTTTCCAACAGATCCCTCAACCTCTGAGGATGCCTGCCATAGGTGTAGGCGAAATGTCAGGAGAGAATGCTTCTGGAACATGGCCATACAGCCCGGAAAACTCACAGCAATCCAGTGATTCCAACCATGAAAGCCTTTGACAACACATTGCAAAAACTTTGTTTTTGTGAGACATTCTACAGTACATTTTGCTATAGTTTTTTAATGAATATTTCATAGAGTCTCAACCAATTCCACATAGTTTGTGTCAGCCACAAAAATGAACTTTTTGGAGTATAACAATGACTTTCAAAGTAAGTACCGCACAACTAAACACGAAATAACACTTTCAAACCAGAAACAGATTTTGTTACATGGTGTTATTGGTTTAAATTTCTCAATCTATTAAACCTCAGCTTTCGATATCAGAACTTCTGTTAATAAAGTGGAAGCAGTTTGACGCATGATTCACACATCTAAAACATAATTTCTTTGCAAGGCAAAATATAACTCAAAGAAGTAGAAATGTCTAAAGTTATGTTTTAAAGGAGTTCAGCTTGTAAAAAGGGAACATTCTGAGAACCACTACTCACCTTAAAATTATCCTTCCTCTCACAAGCAATATGGAGAGGAGTTCTCCCACCTTCCTCGGGTTTAATGGTACATTCTCTGTAGTACATTTTAGGTGGTCCAGTTTCATTGAACATTTTAATCATAGATGGTGCTTCTGTAACCTCATTCTACATGTAAAAAGGGGGGAAGGCAAACAGCTATTAGAGAAACACACTCTGTCTTTCTAGCAATGGAGAATAATCTTCCCTAAGGTATTCCTAATGCTGTGCATATCTTGCTGTGAGAATGCCAAGGCTTTTGAAAAAAGAAATATGCATTGCTTAGCTAGTCTGAAAACATTGCTTGTGACTTTCAAGACTCCATGACAATGTGATGCTGCCTTATACAGTCAGGCTATTCATCCAACTCTGTCTTCCTGTCGGCTCCACCTAGCAATGATCTTTCAAGGTCTCAATCTAAGGGTTTTCCCTGCTCTGCTCCATAAGATCCTTTTATGTTGATGGTCAAGACCTGCCTGCCTAAGACAACAGAGTAGTTCACAAAGAGAAACTACAGTCGGTCAGAGTAAGAGAACACAAAATACATGTCCACTCCACTTCCTACAGTGTTCATTTCTAGAAGCATTACATCTAGATAAGCTATACAATTACTGTATTATAGTGAAATCATTACAACACATTGGCTAGAATAGATGAATTCTTTCTTCAGCTCCTCTCCTCTAGAGGTGCTACTGATGGAATGAGACATACCTCAGGAGGCATGTCTAGCGTGAACACATCATTTTCATCTTCTGCCTTTACGTCTGGGTCTGTAGCAGAATGAAGCAGTAGTTCTGTTATTTCAACCCCTTCATCAAGAGGAAGGGCAACAGCGATATGAAGAGGAGTTGCACCTCCAAGCTGAAAAATAAAAGCTGCATTAACCCACTCAATGTCAAGCTCGCAAGTCACATAAACATTTTCCTATCTTGGAGCTCCTTGAATATTATTATATAATACAGCAATTGTGCAGTCCAGCTTTTAATTAAGTATTTCTTTAGCATTTCAGCTAAGATTAATGACAACATTTCAATATAATAGCATAGTTATCTGAGGCATATATTTAGAGAAGTTTGAGTGAACTTACATTGTATGGACTGGTTAGACAGTGTGGGCAAAATGCTATCCAGACAAAATAGATTCCTAACCACAGACCTCTGGATTTCTGTCCATTATAATCTATGTCAAAGCAGTATATTCCTACATTTAGTCTGACTTTTCTTCTGGGGCAATTCATGAGACTCTGTTCCAACTGATATTCCAGGATCCATCAAAACATCCTTTGAGTAGGTCTTAAAGACTGACCTATTTATCTTGCTCTAAAACTAAATTAGGACTCTATAAAGTCATGATAAAGAAATGCCTTATTTTAATCTGGATTGTGTTATCCCAGTTTTAAGATGTTGTTCTTTATTGCCTTGGGATGTTTTACCCCAAAAATGTGACTGACAAATACTACAGAAATATCCTCTACCATATTTATGGAAGTTGAGAGATTTACATCAGGATCACCACATTATCATAGCACCCATAGTTATGGAATTTTTACCATGAAAGATTTGGTTGGTGGCTCCCTCTCTTCTTTCCTAAGAAGGCACACACCTCCTTTTTATTTTTTGGAAGCAGATACTTTGTTTTTTATTTGTGTGGCAAAAAACCTCTGTAATGCAATGATGTTGCTTTTTTAAATCATTTTTTAAAATCTTTTTAAACTATGTTTTAACTGCACATTATATTGGGTTTTTTTATCAATTGTCATTTATTTATATAATTTTATATGAATAAGTTTTTAAACTGTATCTTGTTTTTATGTGTTTGTAAACCACTGTGGATTATTTGTAAGGAGAAAGACAGAATATTTTTGTATTATTAATTTTCTATACTGCCATTACACTCCTTTTGAATCTCCCTTTCCTAGACTTCACACCTGGAAAACGTGGACATGTTTGTAATTAGTTACAGTTAGTCTAGAGCTAATTAGACCCTGTTTCTATTCTCAATTGATAAAATATGAATGAAAGAATGACTGAAATTTTATTTATAGCCCACCCTATCTCCACGAAGGTACTCGGGGCAACTTACAACAAAATAAACAATGGCAAACATTCAATGCCAACAGCAGTATATAAACAACAAAAAAAACCAATAAATTATAAACAACTTAAATAAACAAGAGAAGACATAACACAATCCACATAATTATAAAGATATTAAGTCCTTAAAATCTCATTAAAAATATCTAAATGCAAAGGAAAACAGTTCAACACTTTAATCCTACAGGTTAACACAGAAATGGTTCACGATGTATTCACAGAAATGCGGCCATTTGGATTTATGAGATGGGCTTCTGTAGTACATTTATGAAATAAGAGAGGTGCTACTAAAACAATTCCGTGGCTGCAATGGGAACAAAACTGACAAAACAAAGGAGTGGGTAGACTTCACTTGCTTATTAATATAGTATACCATGGGCCACTTGGTATGATATAAAATCTGCTTTTAGGTCCAGTTCATAAATCTAAAGAAACAAAGCAGACTTATTAAATACTTCTGTTTATTCTTAAAGAAATGTTTCTATTATACATTCACATAACCAATGTGGTTGTTGGTGCTGTTTTTTAAATTGCTTTTTAAGGAAATATATTTTGTGGATCAGTTCAGCTATTACCAGGAAGGGTATTCTTTAAGAATCGCAAAATGCAGGAAATGTCTTGCTATGACTGTCTAAGCTGAGACTCACCAAGTCAAAGAACAACCCATGGGGACTCCTGATTTCTTTGTATGCCTTATACAGCTAAAAAAAAGGAAGGGAGGCAGGCAGTTGGCAAATTCTTGGCAAACTATCACCCACAGCCAATAGGTTATAAGATGCGCACAACTATTTATAGCAGACTACTCACATCATCTGTTGTTGTTTTTTTAAAAAAAAGAATGATCACATATTAACAAAATAGCCTTACTTTAGTTGGCAGCCGTATATCAGTTCTTGCTCCAGCTTCTAGAAGTAATTTCACTACTTTTGCATCTGCAGCTTTAACAGCAAAGAAGAGGACATACATAGGGATACAGCACATATTGGGATCTGCACCTCTTTTCAGGAGCAATTTGATTGTAGCCATTCTCTTTTTCTGCCTAAAAACCACAAGAAAACAGAGCTCTGCCAATTGTTGTATGTTTTAAGATCAGTGTTCTGGACCCCAGTTCTGGAGGTGAAGATACACCATTCAACTTCTAAACCTGGGAGCTGGGATGATTTTCAGCTTTTCAGGATGGTAGACAGTCTAACTAACCTTCATGCCTTTGTGACACAGGTGTAGTTCAGTGGTTCTTAACCTGTGGGCCATGGACTACTAGTGGTCCACGAGGACGAAAATCTGGTCCATGAGCCTCCTTCCTATTTATTTCATTTCATTTCATTTCTGCTCCTTTCCCGCCGCCTGCAACTCCTTCCCTGTTGCTGACCATGGCATATCTTCTGTATCAGAAACTAGAGTTGATGTGGTCTATCCAACACAATTTTCTGAATCAGCACCCCAAACCGAATCTGAAGTTGACCAAAAACTGATTCATAACCCTTTTGGTACTAATGTTGGAGAGTGGTCCTTGGTCAACTAGTCTCTGGTCAAAGTGGTCCTTGGTCAAAATGGTCCTTGGTCAAAGTTTTCCTTGATCAATGTGGTCCCTCGTCAAGTGTTCAAAAAAAGTTGGGAACCACTGGTGTAGTTGGACAATAATCAAATGCTTCCACAGCACATCTGGGCTTAAATTCACTTAGTCCCAACTACAGTAGATCCATTAAATCAATGGAAGTAATAAATAAAGGCTTAAGGTAAAGCTAAAGGTTTCCCCTAGCACTAAGTCTAGTCATGTCCAACTCTGAGGGATGGTACTCATCTCTATTTCTAAGCCAAAGAGCGGCATTTCCATAGACAACTCCAAGATCATGACTGCACGGGGCACCGTTACCTTCCCACAGAAGTGGTACCCATTAATCTACTCACATTTGCATATTTTCAAACTTCTAGGTTGGCAGAAGCTGAGCCTAACAGCAGCGGCTCACCCTGCTCACCATATCTGAACTGCCAACCTTTCAGTCAGCAAGTTAAGGAGTTCAGCGGTTTAACCCGCTGCACCACCAGGACCTTATGTTGTGACAAAAAGATAGATTTAGGCTCCGACCCCACTCTGTGTAAAAACTGGAGACATCACATAGACAAATGATTATACCAGTGAGATCTATGGAACAATTTTCTGGATAGCAGCAAAGACCTAAAATTCTTGGTGATGTCTTTGAAAACTTCACCTAGAATTTAGAATGCTGTTCCACAAATCATAAAAATAGCTAGCCAGTATCAAGGCTGTACGGCTGTAACCTATTGTACCTCACTCTAACTCCAATCAGTTTGATGTTCATTAACCACATTGAAAGGCCTTATTTTACTTTGGCTAAGGCATTTTAAAAGCGAATACATTCATAAACCAGCACAACAGAATAGTGTTCGATATATAGTCAGACACCACCACCTTCAATATGCATACATGTGTTTTTACTTTGAGATTTGCTTTAAACACTATGTGCCCAAAGTGTTTTTAAATTATTTTAGAGAAGCAGATCAGTAATGGAACTAATACAATTTTGCAACCTTGTCTAGATACTATCATTATTCATCAGTCTCAAGTCCTTGTGAATTGGAACAAAATTAAAGCTATTTCCACATGAATGTGCTACTATCCTTTTAAACTGCCTTGAACAGGCAGGATTATTTTAAATATATGTGCTATTGTGGTTTTTAATGCTTATTTTGTCTTGTTAATTTATGTTCATGCTGTTCTCTTTGGATGTATTGATTATGTCACTCGGAAACCGCTTTGAGTCCCCTTGGGGAGATAGAGCGGTATATAAATAAAGTTTAGTTGTTGTTGTATCCTATGGCATTCCCTTGACCTGGCATAACAGCTACTTACTAACATTGCCATCTCCTTCTTTGCATTGCTGGTGGTATTGGATGACTGTGAAGCCTTGACCAAACAAGGCTGCACTTCTGGGTGGGCATCGTAGCCCTGCCCACCCACTCTGCCACTTCCCTCTCTTTTTAAAGATACATTGCAATTACTCAAACTGTAGTATTAAAAATATTTAAAAATCAAATCCTACTTTTTCCAGTAAGGGGAAAGGACAGTATGCTGCTATAGAAGCATCTGTACCTCATCAAAACAGGTTAAGTCCCAGGGTCATGGTACAATCAATAACTGGGTGTGGCTTCATATTGGAGCAGTAGCAGACCGGCAAGAGCTATCGCATAACATTACCAGATAAGGAGCTAACAAAGGTGACAGTCCTGGTAAAACACTGGTTTCCACCTCTTTGCAACAAAGTTCTAATGCTTTTATTCCCTTCCAGAAAATATTTGATTTTCAGAGGGAGAGAAGAGAAAATGGCACTACATTTCTAACTCATTCAGTAGGGGATACAGAAAAATGAGAGAAGAGGGCTCTACAAGCACTGCTGTGTATATTTCTGGCACTCAGCATAAGATGGGACTAGAGAACATGGCAGATAGAGTTGCTCTTTTAATCCATCATCAAGAATCCTCCTGACTGGCCTGCACCCATTGTTTCAGAGTGCTCTGAGCTCCCATCCAGCTTTAAGATAACCACAATATTAAATGCTATGCATGAAGTAAATTGTAACAGTATTGCCACTTTGCACCCTACTTAAAACAAGTGTTCTACAGCTATGAAAGGGACACAGAAATATTAAAAGAATATACCTGAGCAATGTGCCCGACTGCTCATTGGAGGGAAGGATAGTAAAGGCAAAGATGAAATACTTTGGCCACATCACGAGAAGAAAGGAAAGCTTAGAGAAGACAATTATGCTGGGGAAAATGAAAGGGAAAAGGAAGAGGGGCCGACCAAGGGCAAGATGGATGGATAGGATCCTTGAAGTGACTGGACTGACCTTGAAGGAGCTGGGGGTGGTGACAGCGAACAGGGAGCTCTGGAGTGGGCTGGTCCATGAGGTCACAAAGAGTCGGAAATGACTGAACAAATGAACAACAACAATGTGCCTCAGCTTCAAGCCAGCAAACACACAACTACCGATAAGAAAAAACAGTCAACCTCACAGCTTAGCTTGACATAGTGGAATCATAGCATGCCTCCTATATAGAGAAAAATAAACAAAGGCTATCTACTCCCTCAAAAGGGGGAGACACCGAATAAGGAACCTCAAATAGATGTCCCAATCAGGCAAGGTAGCCTCCGCCACTGAGGTGAAAGGAGAATCTGCCCAATAAGTGGACGGTGAACGTAAGCAACCTGTTTCTAAGAGCCACTCACTCTGTTATTGATGCCGCCAATCGTCTCAGAATGCCATCATGCTGAAGAATCTCCTTACTGTTGGAGAAGTCAGACACTTTTAGCATATGGTGACTAAGCACATCTGCACCACGCTTCATGATTTCCACAGAAAACTTAATCTTGTAGTTGTAAACGCCACAGATTGTCCCAGAGCTCTTTTCACCGAGAGTACACTCTGTTTCCTCCGACGACCTTGCCTCCGCTTCCGTGCCACATTCTGTCCTCGCAGGAGGTACTGCAGGAGATGTAGGAGCAGTAGGAGAGGAAAACTTATATTCAGGACTATCTGGAAATAGCAGAGATACATCTGATCTCTGGGATATTGATGGAGATCTTGAAGAAGTTTCTTCTGGAGTACCTGCTGCCTATGTAAAACAAAGTAAAAAAAACTTGCAAAAAAGGTTTAACTGCTTCCAAGAATACATCACTCTGCACTAGTACATCAGTATCCGGATGAACATGCATTCATAAAAACACTACTGAGTTTTCATGCAATTTTTTTTTTCAAAATTGACAATTTTACTCAAAAGTGCTGCAGCTGGCTTATTTATTTTACTCATATCTTATTTACTACTACTTCTTTGAATGAAGTTACATAAGATTCTATTGGCAGATTCCCTCGAAGGTACATAAGATTCCCTTGACAGGTGGTCCCTAATCCAAGGCCAAAACTAAGCTTCCGTCTCTGATTATGACACTTTTCAAATCAAAATGACCCTGTTACAATTGCTTTTTCTTTAATTTTCCTACATGATTTATGCTGTTTATGATCATTTTACTTTCTAACGTGTTGCACTCCAGCCCCCCCCCCAAAAAAATGAGACTTGAATCATTTCAGATTGTTGCTTATGATGCTTGTTTTATTATGGTTTATAATGTTGTTTTTATGTTGTCTTAATATTTTATTTGCTATGTTTTATTTGCTATGTTTTAACTGTATGTGTTTTGTATGTTAGTTCTTGCGGACCAATTTTTTTTTTATTTTTTTTGTCGTGTCAGGAGCGACCGCTCCTGTTGTGAGAGAATTGGCCGTCTGCAAGGACGTTGCCCAGGGGACGCCTGGATGATTTTGATGTTTTATCATCCTTGTGGGAGGCTTCTCTCATGTCCCCGCATGAGGAGCTGGAGTCAATAGAGGGAGCTCATCCGCCTCTCCCCGGATTCGAACCTGCGACCTGTCGGTCTTCAGTCCTGCTGGCACAGGGGTTTAACCCACTGCACACCGGGGGCTCCTTTGCCCCATGTAAGCCACCCCAAATCCCTTCGGGGAGATGGAGGCAGGGTATAAAAATAAAGTTCTTCTTCTTCTTCTCCTTGCCACATTTTGAACAAACTCAAATCTACTAAGCTTAAGGAATACACCAGCGTTTCTCAACCTGGGGGTCGGGACCCCTGGAGGGGTCGCGAGAGGATATCAGATGGGTCGCCAAAGACCATCACAGACAGTATTTTCTGTTGGTCATGGGAGTTCTGTGTGGGAAGTTTGGCCTAATTCTATCATTGGTGGGCTTCAGAATGCTTTGAGGTGAACTATAAATCCCAGCAACTACAACTCCCAAATGTCAAGGTCTATTTTTCCCAAACTCCACCAGTGTTCACATTTGGGCATATTGAGTATTTGTGCCAAGTTTGGTCCAGATCCATCATTGTTTGAGTCCACAGTGCTCTCTGGATGTAGTTGAACAACAACTCACAAACTCAAGGTCAATGCCCACCAAACCCTTCCAGTATTTTCTGTTGGTCATGGGAATTCTGTGTGCCAAGTTTGGTTCAATTCCATCATTGGTGGAGTTCAGAATGCTCTTTGATTTAGGGAAAATATTTATTTATTTATTTATTTATTTATTTATTTATTTATTTAAACTTATATGCCGCCACTCCCCTGGGGCTCAGAGAGGCTTACAAGAATGGCTAAAATCTAACAAAATTTAAAAGCAATTTAAAAACAATTTAAAAACAGCAATATCAAACATTAAAAGCCTGTCGAAACAGGTATGTCTTACATGCCCTGCGGAAAGCTGGTAGGTCCCGCAAGGCACGGACTTCAGGTGGCAGAGTATTCCAGAGTGATGGTGCCACTGCTGTGAAAGGCTCTGCGTCTGGTTGCTGTTAGACGCAAGGTCTTGACACTGGGAATTTCCAATAGATCTTGGTCCTCAGAACGGAGGGATCTCTGGGGTTGGTAGGGGGTGAGGCGGTCCCTCAGGTACATCGGCCCCAGACCATGCAAGGCCTTAAAGGTGAGTACCATCACTTTGAAAGTGATCTGGTGCTCAATTGGTAACCAATGCAGTTGTAGTAAGATTGGTGTTATGTGGCATCTCATCGGAATTCCCGCAAGAAGCCGAGCAGCTGCATTTTGTACCAGCTTGAGCTTCCAGATCACCAACAGAGGAAGGCCAATGTAGAGGGCGTTACAGTAGTCCAGTCTTGAGATGACCGTGGCCTGGATCACCGTAGCTAGGTCATCCCTGGACAGGTAGGGGGCCAGCCGTCTAGCCTGCCGCAGATGAAAAAAGGCGGTTCTGCTAACGGCGGAGACCTGGGCCTCCATCGTCAGCAGAGGGTCCAAAAGGACTCCCAGACTCTTTACCAATGATGACGGGCGTAGCACCTCGCCATCCAGGGTAGGCAGCTGGATATCCCCACTGCCTGGTTGACCCAGCCATAGGATCTCCGTCTTACAACTCCCAGATGACAAAATCAATGGAAACCATTTTAAGTGAAGGGTGGAAGCAAGCTCCAAGCACCCAGGACGTCTAGAGTACGGAAAAAAGAGATAAGGTGGTGCTGTGCCTGGAAAAACATGCCTCTTTCACTCACCTGGCCCGCCCTTGTATCCTATTAACATACCTCCTTCTCTGCCTCTCAAATTTTTACTCCTGAGGACTGCAGTGAAGCGATGCAGGCACGCATGTGTGAGATGTGAGAGGCAGAGGAGGTATGGTAATAGGAAAATTACCAGATTGAAATCAAATCTGATGGTTTTTCTATCTTTATTTGGTGTGCATTGAAAGAGGGGTAGTTTTAATATGATGAGTATATCCCAAACTCTATATTTTAACTGGAAAGGTTGGGTGTCGTCTTATACGCTCAATCATCTTATACACCAGAAATGTTTGTATGTTTTGCCCCATCCTGAGCCATGAGAAGAGATGGATAGGAAATTATTATCATAATTAACATTATCATTACTCATGTAAAGGAGAGTCTGGATCCAACTGTACAGCTTCAAAACCAGAGCTTAGCATCATACTAATATCAGGTGTTTCATGGAACTGTATTTCAAACTTACAGATTTATGAAGGACTGACCTCTTTCTGAATGGGGCTCCTTTCCGCAATATTGACTTTGAATGACTGAACTGGGAAATAATGGATAATGCACATAGACAATGCAGACAACCCTTCATCACTGCATTTATTCACGTCAGCTCCATTATCAAGAAGAAGGTTGATGATGTCATTGTGGAAATTCATCTGTACAGAAAATATGCAAATTATTTTCACATAAAGTATTTTTTCTGAATGCTAGCATTGTTTTTAAACCCCAATTTGGGAAAATCAGGAAAGTGTGGATTTGGTTTTGAAAGATGGATGTAGCCTACAGATAAGATTTCATTGTACTCAGTGGGAGACTAGTTCTTAATGTGCTGCTGGGAAACGTATCATCAATTTCTTCGAGCTACTACATTAAAACACATATAATAGTTTTCACCGTGAATAAAAGAAAATTAAATCCAACCAATTTTGCCTTAAAGCAGCATAAGCCACAGTAAGATTTGGCGTCTTACAGCAGCCGCAGCAAGGGCAGTATATCCATGTACATCTGCTACGTCTGGATGGGCCAGGCTGTCCCTCAGAATCTCATAAACTCTATTATAGTCTCCTTCTTCCGATTTCTCAATCAATTCCTCAGAAGCACACTCTTTAGGTCCTTTCTCTCCAAAACCACTCCGTTGGCCTTCCAGAACAAGATTAACATCCCAGTCTACATCTTTCTGACAATGCCTGTAAGTCAACAAAAATAAAAGACAGTAAAACACTGTATGCCTTAGTGACTCTCCGTATGTGTCCACGATCCACCTTCAAGTCATCTGTCAATTTACGGTGACCCTGTGAATTCTATATGACTTTCTCTCTCTTCTTGCTGTATTATGAGGGGACTTGCACCTGATTTTGTGTGTGTGTGTGACGTTGCCCAGGGGATGCCGGATGTTTTACCATCCTGTGGGAGGCTTGTCTCATGCTCACCATGCTCCCCGGATCTGAACCAACCTTTCGGTCAGCAGTCCTGCTGGTACAAGGGTTTAACCCATTGCACCACTGGGGGTTGATGATTTGATAAGGATCAACAGAAATTATCTTTCCATTTGCATGCCTTTGTCCATATTCTTCCCCAAGCCAATGTTGTGTTTTCCTGCAGGAAGGAAGCAATTCTCCTAAAACTGTCCAGAGGAAGGGCAGATTACCTTAAGGCCACAAGTACCTAACTTCCATACAAGTACCTGACAAGTAGTATTACTGCCAATGCCAAGGGGTAAGAAGGTAAACACATCTATTAATTGACACAGACATTTGGGCATACATAAGGATCGTATTCTATAAACACAGGGCTTCCTTATAATTCAGAAGCAGTTGAAGGAACAGATGGGCACATATGGTGGAAGCTTTAAAAACTCACTATAGTCCGAGTAAGCTGTCAAGCTGAAAAGACAAAGAACAATCGCACACAGGGAGCTCTATCAAATGTATACTTAATCATCTATTCCATCCCACCTACCAATACTTACCTATATTTATAGATGTGTTTCTGCATCTTGATAAGAAAAGGAGTTATATTGGTGATGGGCCAACGGTTTTCATAAGCCAACCATTTTCTTTTCTTAAAATACTGAAAATCAAACTCGTTGAGGAAGGTGTGAGTAAGTGGAAGGTGTTCTGCATCAATTGAGTATATGTACATGTCTTCAGGCAAAGTGTAGCTGTCATCATTTAAAAGAAGATGCTTAAAGTGGTAGAAAAATGGGTCCTTTTCCTCATTCAGATCCCAAAATTTACCTCGGTCATCCGAAATATATTCCCTACTAGACTCGGCATCATAATAAATGCTGAGTTCTGGGAAAGCTGACAGTGTAAAATAACTAGGTATTTCTGTGCACAGTTTAATTAGGTGACTTCGATGCCACAAGCCAACATCTTGAATATCATCTGGGTAGGTTTCAATCCCGGGTCCAAAGCGTTCATCAGTCCTATAAAGACCCTTTAACAAAACAAAACAAAACATTATGAGGGAAAATAACAGATTGTACGTCAACTCACAAAATGTAGGTTCATACTTTGCCAATACAGAATTTAGCATTAAATGAATGCCTAACATCAATAATTTAAAAACACTGTTTTTGCTAATAGCCATTTCTGTGACTAGAAGTGTATGAAATCAAAATGCAATGTAATTCCAATTCCCAATATGAAAATGGGTTACATAGACACAGTAAAGACATGGAACATAGACTTAAAATATTTCAAATTTAAGGAAGTCATAAAGAAGGGGACAATGGCATAATATAGAAAAAGAACTGAGAGGTAAGTTTCAAAAATTTGTATGAAAAGTGTACATGTGAACACAGGTAGTCAACACCCAATTAACTCCATACTTTAGTACCACAAGAGTGAGCTGTAGCAAGCCTAGGACACCCTCTTTAGGTGCAAAGCGGTAGCAGGGATGGCCTTCGCAACATCAACCATATCTCGAAAAGCCTGACTTGGCCACGGTGGTCCATGCCTTAGTTACATGGACTACTGTAATGCACTCTACATGGGCTGCCTTTGAAGATGACTCGGAAACTGCAGTTAGTGCAAAGGTCAGCAGCCAGGTTACTAACTGGGGCTAGCTATAGGGAGAATACCACGCCCCTATGAGAGCAGCTCCACTGGCTTCTGACAAGTTTCCAGGCTCAATGCAAAGTGCAAGTTATCACCTGTAAAGCCCTATATGCTTCAGGTCCAACCTATCTTCGAGACCGCATCTCCTTCTATGAACCAGCACAGGCTCCAAGATCTGGTGGGGAGGCCCTTCTCTCAGTTCCACCACCGTGTCAAGTACGGTTGATGAGGATGAAAGAGAGGGCCTTCTCAGTGGTGGCTCCTCGGCTCTGGAATGCCCTCCCTAGAGAGATTAGGTTGGACCCATACTCCAAACCTTTCAATCTAGCCTAAAAACATGGTATTTTCAGAGGGCTTTTGACCTGAAGTAGTCTGCAATGGCTGCATGTGAGAACTGATAGTTCACTCCAGCATTTTAGCACGTTAACTGAAAATCGCCAATTTTAACCATAGTCACTACTGTATTTTAGACATTTTAAATTTTATTATGTGATGTTATGTATGCTCGATGTGTTGTGGCTGCAATTTTATACTGTTATTGTTTTTGTGTTTGCATGTTGTTTATTTATGTGCGGCACTCTGGCTTTCGTGAGCCAAATCGAGTCCCTTTGGGGAGACAGTGGTGGGGTGTAAATAAAGTTTTTATTATTATTATTATTATTATTATTATTATTATTATTTATTAAAGAGAAATTCAGAATTGTTTGTTTCCCATTTAGATTAACTTTTGTATGTCGTGCTTTGAACCTAATAGCTAATTTCATGTTTTTGTTGAAAAACAGTTTGTAAAATTGTTTTGCTCCAATTAACCATAGTAAAAAATTTAGATGCAGGTGACATGCCAAACTATAATCAAAAATCAAAATAGTAGCATCTGGGGTTATAGTGGCAGGTCAGGGTCCACACAAGGCCATAACTCATTGTGGCTCATCATTTTCACATACAGCATATTTAACATGTTTAGTATAAAATAGGAACACAGTTAATGTGGTCGATATACTCCTGCTTTTTCTAATAGACTAGCACAAATACCTGGTGTTGCCCTCCTGCATTTCTCCCACCTTTTTCTTCCTTCCTTCCACATTTTTCTTTATTCGCTCTCCCTTTCTTCTTCTATCCTTCATTTCTCTTTTTTTTGTCCTTCCTTCCTTCCTTCCCCTCCCCTTTCTCTGTTCTCCAGCTCTAAGAGAACCTGCATCACAAGGTCTCCATAGCAAAGTGGCTTTTTCTGTGGCTCTTTCCTTCCTTCCCCTCAGACACATTACTTTTCTTTCCCAGTGACATCACAGAGAGCCATTTCACCAAGAAACACTTTTATGGTACAACCAGACATTCAGGCAAAAGGATCGATGGACATACAAACTTTAAAGATACAGAAATAGAGGCATTACCAACATTTTCACAGATGTTTCTAAGTACTGTGCACATTCACTGTAGCTCAGGATATGGGTTCAATATTATTCTCAGGACAAACAAAGTATAAAATAACCAACTTAGAAATAGACCGACTTTTCAATTCAATATAAACAAAATTCTACTACTGGTAATTCTGACACTTATATGAAACATGTGGATAAAAAGATTATTTGTTGCACAAATTTATTTTATATTTTCTATGATAGCACCATAGTGAGCATCTTGTAAATTACCTGAAATCTTTTTCCATCATTAAATTCCATGATCCCATAGCCTTCTTTACGACTAAGGTAAAATGACCCTGAAAATTTTGAGCCATCAGGCCAAAAGTAAACCCCTTTGCCATGACGATGGTCTTTATAAAACTGCCCTACATATCTCTGTAATAAAGGAGAAAGAAAAATTATGCAGATTACAACATTTAATAGCCTACCACAGAAGGAAAGGGGAGTTTCTATCATTTGCAATTAAAAATATATAATAAAAATACAGAGTTGTATTCAATAATGTCATTTTACTAATGGCAACCTGTTTTGATAAATTGGTTTTCAACCTTGTGTAAATAATAAACTTTTCTTGTTTAAGCCATTATGCAGACAATTATACAGCGCATGCTGATATTATTAGACTATGAGTTACATGTGTTAGCCACACTGGTTTTTGTTCTAGTAGTTGTACAACTACTATGAAGAATAAGTTCTGGAGTCTCTTAAATGAGCAAATGATGCATAGAATTTGTTCATCATATCACCTCATGGGTTCTAAATTCCATAAACACCTGACCTAGTAACAAAAATACAACAAGTAATCAATCGGGTACATTATTTGATATGATGACTTGATATAACATAAACAATACAAATAAAATAAATGCCTTGTCTAACCAAAGATCCTTGAAACTCAGTGCAGCCAAGTAGCTGTCAAGCTGTTACCAGAAAGGCCACAAACCATTCTCATGTTATAGTTACCAAAAATGTTATGCTTCCATGGAAGATATACAGAGCCATCATGATAGGAAGACACTGATAGATCTTATCCTCTTTCATGAACACATTTAATCTCTTTTGATACTATCTCAAGTAGAGTCCTTTGCATAATGCCAAGTTTTTAACTTTGTGTTTTTTGTATGTTATAACTATATTCTCAATTTGCTTCTGACACGATAAATAAATAAGTAGTGTCCTGCCATTGATACATATTTTAGCAGGAAATTTCATAAATTCATTGGGCACTTTGAGAAATATATTCATTTATCAGACTTAAATAGAAAGAAAGCCAAAAGGATTGCTCAAGGTCTGAACCTAGATTTAGTCTCACACACACATACAAAAATAAGTATGTACCCTAACACACACCCAAAACTATTTACAGTATAAGTCCTATCTAAAAGGTTTAACCAAATGTCCTCATGATTTCTAAGTATGTCTAAGACACAGAATAACAAGTTTCCAGTTTGCTCCATCCAGCAGCAATCATTCTCTCACTATAGCTATCCTCCAGAGCCAGTAACCCTCCAGAGTGGCATACATTGGAGGTACGGAAAGTGAAAATCAGACATGTATCCACACATACATAAACAGATTCCTTTACATAATGCCTTCTAAATCTCCACTTGCTGATCCAAAACAGGAAAGAGAAAGATTTCAGAGAAATCTAACAGGTAAAGAACAGGTCACAATAAAGTGCACGTATATGCCACAGAACCTTCATAAAGAATGTTGTAGAAAGAAATAAAGAATGGATTTAACTAATATTTTCAAGACAGTTTGAACACAGTAGTATTCATCTGCGAGTCAGTAAGCTTAATCCACATGCCTTCATCCAGGGGAAATGATGGCACAGAAACTTATTGAGAATTATAACATTTAATAAAAATGGAATATATCGAGGATAAAGTTCAAACAAAGCTAGTATGCTTCCTCAAGCCTGGATTTGCAATCTTGAAACATTTCATTAACATTAGATATATTACTGTGAGTCACTTTTATTGCATATCAGAAACACTGGATGAATTCAAACATGTCCTATTATAGAAATGTTTTTATTAAATTGTGTTTTAGTAAACATTGTTGAGAACACACAAGGAAATTAAAATAATCTGTTTGCAGAAATAATAAACAGAATATACCACATGTTTGCTCATGATACACATTTTTGACTATCTCACACACATTCTCCTATCACACTGGAAAAATCCCAGCCAACAAAGACAATCTGGACCCAAATCCCCTACAAGGAAAAGCAGCACTGTAACCAAACGCACGTAAGTTATGAGCCCATTCAAAAGTTAACAACACGTTCCTCCATCTCCAGTACAGGTTTTCAAAATAACAGATGGAGAGAGAGGAGGAGAGACATGGAGATCTCCATCCATCCATCTATATCAATCACTGGGCACTGGAACTACTAGCCACTTTACAGACTAGAGCAAAGTCACCTTTTAACAAGCATGCAAGCCATCAAGTGACTCAACCACAGGAGGAGAAAAGTTGCTTTTTAGAAACCCCTCAATTACTTACTTATTTATTTACAACATTTGTACCGTCCTATTCTCAACCTCCGATGATGAACTCAGGGCAGCTTCCAACAATATAAAAACACCAATAAAATACACAATTGCATAGAATGATAATAAATATACATTTAAAAGCAGTTTGCCAGGTTTAAAACATCCTCCAAATCAGTCTAAAAAATGTGGTCCATAAAATCTCATCTACACCAATAAAAACAGTCTATTAGGCGAATGCCTGCTCCCACAATCAAGTATTAAGTGTCTTGCGAAAAGTCAGGAGGAAGGGGCCAGATCTAACCTCTTTAGGGAGGGAGTTCCATATCCAAGGGGCCACCACAGAGAAGGCCCTGTCGCTCGTCCCCACCAAACGGACTGCGATGGTGGCGGGACTGAGAGCAGGGCCTCCCCAGATGATCCCCATAGACTGCTGTCCAGTCTATGATCTATGGCAAACCAGGTTAGTTTTTGAAAGAACATTGTTGCAAGAGGTGGCACAAAATATTGTCAGTACCGACAACACATCCCCAAATAAACAGCATTGGCAATTCTATCTGCACTATCTATACTAAATAGTAGTGAAGGAACTTAATTTAAACACATGAGAAGATTAAGGTAGCTTCACGTGTGTTTAAATTCAGTTCCTCCACTACTAAATTGTTTTTGCAATCGATCAGTTTCTTTATTCACCCAAGTCCTCAGGATGATCAATTAACCTATTTCCCTGTTACTCTACTGTTCAAATTTAAAGGAGAAAATATTGGGGAAAATGGATCATGTCCTGTTACGATCACTGACCATCGGGGTATTGATCATAAACTGTTAGGATCACAACCTAATCGGGGTTTATTTAGTAATGGATGATCACTGGGCATGTAGATAGTTTTTTTTTCTGTTTGATGCTTTCAGCAGACAATGAAGTAAGCAGACATCTTTTAAAATATAACAACTTTTGTTTACCATGTATTTCATGTATTTAAAGATACAACCACATTTCTTGTCAAAGGTTAAAAACTTCAGTAAAGTTTCAGATAGGTTATATACTGAATTTATAGTATTTAACGGTTTCTTCATAAACTATGTTGTTTTACACAGCTTTCTTTAATATGAGTTTACTTTTAAATAAAGCACAAGCCTCAACAGTTTCTAACTACCTAACATGAGCTTCTGCACTCTGACATTCTATATTCAAGCTCATTCAAGGTTTAACAACACTTCTCTAACAGTCATTCCTCAAATGATATTCCCTAGCTGTCATCTTGTTTAAACTTGAATATTCTAAACTGTCACTGAGTCAGTCATGTGACCTGCAGTCCCTCCCACTGCTTTAGGTATATAGAGATAAGGAAATGCAAATCACATAAGGCATATATTTCAGATTACAAAACGACACATTTCAAAACAGGCAAACATCATATAGAGGAGGCTTGAGAAGGTTGCTTCCCCCAACAGAAAAGGACTTTTAGAATTTAAAGATGTTAGAATTTAAAGGAGAAAATTTTTATATTATGATTAACTTACGACTAAATAATGGAAATAACTGATTTCAGTTATAGAAAAGGCATTAATGCATTGGCATCAGAATAAGACAATGGATGTATTAAATTGTTAGTTCTAAGGCTTAAATATAATTTTAGGAGCATAAGAGTCTGGAAGAAAGTACGTTTTAAAAAATAGAATTAATTATTATCATTAATTATATCTCTAACTGATAAATATTGGAGCTATATTACTTTTTGGCACGACAAACAATATGGCAAATTATCTTTCAAATGTGTACCAAAAATTGATAGCTTATAGGAAGAAACACTTTGTTCAGAGTTTTGTTTAAAAAAAAAAAAGATGGAGGAGGCTTGGAGGTGGTAAGGATTTAGTTATAGCAGCTGCAGAAAAGACTGAAAGTCACTTTTACTTTTTATTTTAGTATTTCTTCTTCTCTTTTTTCTTTCTTTCTTTTTCTCCATTTTTATTTTTTTAATTTATTATATAGTATGTTAAATTGTTTTCCTTGTATATTTATTTTCTATATTGCATAATGCTAATTAAAAAAATTTAAAGCATATGAAACAGGAAATGTGACAAGAGTTATTTTTCAGTGAATGATGTGAAGCAGCACAGCCCATCTCATCTTCACTGAACGTCAAAACGTCTACTTATTAGCTTTACTGGATGTAGCTTAGCATAACTTGCTGGTTGACCCTAATCCCTTCAAACAATAAGTACTATGTACTTCTAAATAAACGAAATGTCTTATCAACATCAAATATCAGTAATATCACACAGTTGAGATAAGATTCAAAAATGAGTATTATATGTACTTTAAGTAGCAATTCACAGTTAATTCAAAACTACACATATGGTCTCACAAAATCTAGGCCACCAGCATTGCCTATAGGTAGCTTTTAGGACTTCCTTTTCAGGCATATGCATTTAAAGCCTGAAACTTTAAACACATTTACTGAAAAGTAAATCAGTAAGACTTACTGAGTGAATGATGATGGCAATAATAAAAAGGAAGCCAAGTTATATATTCATATCTGTGTGTGCAATAATCACAGTGCTCTGGAATTTGAAAGCATATTTTAAATATTAAGACAGTTTACCTCTCCATTGTCCCAATCAAATTCTCCATACCCAAGTTTTAGATCAAATGCAAATTCTCCTTTATAGCTGGAACCATCTGGCCACTCTTGAACACCAGTTTTATATTCAATCTGATTGTTGTTCACATCATCTTCTCCAAATATATACTTCTGTTCGTTACTTTCTTCTTCATAATCTTTTGTCTCTCCTTCTCCATCACCTTCATAACCAAGAGCAGACTCTGATTCAACGTGGATTTCAGTTTCTCCACGGAAGAAGTTGTCATGTTGCAATATGTCGTCTTTTGTTCCATCTTTGTTCACTCTAAAATAAGAAACAGGAAGAGTGAACTTCTCTGCCAAATGTAGATAATGCAATGCTAGCTCCACACATACACACACACACACACACAAGGAAGTCCCAACTGATTTCAAAGTTATTTTAAATTATTAGAATAGTTATAAGCTGCTTTTAGGGCAAAGCCTTTCAAAACATTATACAAGAAGTTTCTAAAAAGATAAAGACAATGAAAGTAAAGGTAACAGGTAGTACAGGTTTTCTTCTGACATTAAGTCCAGTTGTGTCTGACTCTGGGGGCTGGTGCTCATCTCCATTTCTAAGCCGAAGAGCCAGCGTTATCCGTAGACACCTCCAAGGTCATGTGGCCCGCATGACTGCATGGAGCATTGTTACCTTCTCCCTGAAGTGGTACCTATTGATCTACTCACATCTACATGTTTTCGAAGTGCTAGGTTGGCAGAAGCTGGGACTAACAGCAGGAGCTCACCCTGCTCCCCGGATTCAAACTGGCTACCTTTGGTCATCAAGTCCAGCAGTTCAGTAGTTTAACCTACTCTACCACTGGGGCCCCAATGAAAGTAAAACCAATGTTAAAAACAAAATTAATTAATCAACAATGAACAGTCTCAACATTTGGTTGCATGCAATGTTTATCCACCACTTGGTAGCCAAACTTATAGATCTGTTATTTCTTTAACATGCTAGGAGTAGGTGATGAGGCAGGGTTACCTTCTTTTCTCTCTGTTTTGGTGTTCAATGTGCTTGGTATGGGATTTTGAAACTGTTTACTATGCCTGTTGTTGGTGAAGACACACAGCAAGGTCAACTGGAAGACCTAACTCAAACTTGTATTACATTGTTGACTGAAGAAACAACACTGCAACTTTGTACTGCAGGCTGTGCTTTTCCTGTCTTCCTTCATCATCTTCCCAATGCTAATGCTAGCAAAACCTTTCAGCTATAAAAAGGAAGAATGGGGGACCCAAGAGACAAAGCTTGTTTGTTAGAGGCTTTGTTTAACCTTTACTGCCAAGCTAAGCATCTGTTACTTTAAGGGGAGCATAACTTCTTCTGAGGCAGGTAGCCTACCCAATTTCTGGGTTTAAGAATCACCAATCCGTCTTATCAGCTTCAGTTCATTGCCCACTATCCATCCTATTACAGCATGCATCCATGCATTACTCCAGCACTCACACAGCCTCAGCCGGCTCTCAAGACAAGGAAAACTAGAGCTGGATGTCATCAGCATTCAGGTGGCACTGATTCCTCTGCCCCAAATTTCTAATTTCTCCTCGAGTTGTACATAAAAAAACCCCTTCCACATCGCCTATTTTGACATTCCCACCATCCTCGTATAGATATTGAACAGCATGAGAGACAAGAAGGAACACAGTATTAAATTCTGATCAGAAATCCAGAAAGAGCAACAGAAGAACAACATCCAACCTCTCATATTTCACCCCAAACAGATAATTATCCAGAGCTACTAAGGCCATTTTAGTGCTCTGGTCTAAAACAATAACAAACTTTAAAGGGACTCGGGGCAGATTACAAAGGCATTCCAAGGTGCACATATAACATGCAGTCATATAAAATTATAACAACAACCCCTGTAACATATATAGCATAAAATCAAAACAATACACATTTGAAAACATCAGTAAATAAAACTAACTACCATTGATTCAGAAAGTGCCAAGTGTTAGCTTCTTATGGGCCCATTCATCCTACTCGAAGTTAAAGGCCTGTCTGAACATCCATGTTTTCAGCCTGGAATGGAAGGATTGAAGGGTGGGGGCTAATCTAATATCTTTTGAGAGGGTACTCCAGAGCCGGGGGAGGGGAGCACCACAGAGAAGGTCCTCTCTCTCGTCCCCACCAACTGCGCTTGAGACAGTGGTGGGACCGAGAGAAGAGTCTCCCCTGTCGATCCCAAAGTCGCACCGGTTAGATAGAAGGAGATATGGTCACAAAGATAGGTTGGACCCGAAGCGTATAGGGCTTTATAGATAACAACCTGCACCTTGAACTGAGCCCAGAAACTTATCAGAAGCCAGTGGAGCTGCTTCAGCAGTGTGGTATGCACCCTGTAGCACCGGTTAGTAGTCTGGCAGCCGACCTTTGCACTAGCTGAAGTTTCTGAAACGTCTTCAAAGGCAGCCCTACACTACTGTAGTAGTCCAGTCTGGATGTAACTCAGTCATGGACCACGGTGGCCATGTCAGGCTTCTCAAGGTATGATCACAGCTGGTGCACAAGTTTTGACTGTGTGAAGACCCAGCCACTGCCAACATCTGGGTGGCAAGAGTCAGCACTGAGTCCAGGAGGACCCCCGGACTGCAGACCTGTGCCCTCAGGGGGAGTGTAACCCCGCTGAGCACAGGTTGCCACCCTATATCTTGATCGGCTTCGCAACTGACCAGGAGGACCTCCGTTTTGTCTGGATCAAGTCTCAGTTTGTTGGCCCTCATCCAGTCCATCAAAGCTGTCAGACACTGATCCAGGATCTGGGGAGCTTCCTTGGAATGTGGTGGAAAAGAGTAGTAGAGTTGGGTGTCATTTGCATAGAAATGGCCTCACCCAGAGGTTTCATGTAGATATTGTCTACATATCCAGATAACAAGCCCAGATAATCCAAAGTCCCCTAGTCTGAAGCACGTTGCCCAAAAAAAAGCAGATGTTAGCATTATGGTCTTGGGTCTCACATACCACTAAGTCCAGTGATGACTTCTTCAGGATTATGCCTTCTTGCAAGGCAACCTCTTCTCTTCCTAACATAATGCATTTATTACCTCATGGATTGATTTTATCAGCCAAGATGATTAAAATTCAAGCTTACAGGTAGCAGGCTAAACTATTTCAAACATCTTGTCCACATTATTAAGATTCAACAATTGAAACTTAATGCATGAAAACTGATTAGATGGAGCACTGGTCTCAAATTCTTAGTGAATACAATAGCATAATACAAAAATAATTGGATTTAAAACATCAAAAAGGCACTTAAATTATAGAACTTCCTGCACATAGTTGGGTCTGCCTCCTTCAAAACCTTTACTCTGCCAACAATCCCACTTCAGCGGCAGATAACTGGTGGGCTTCATACAGATAAAGGGGGAAATCTCTTAAGACTAATGCCATCTTCCATTATAATCTGATCAAAACTATGCCCAATATTTCTCACAAAATGATATGTCTACACCCACAAAGCACAACTATGACATACAAGTTCTACATCTGGCAATCCATCCAAAATACTTTTTTTTCAACAGTTTCACAAGATTTGACATATATATAACAACTTGGGAATTAATATCCACACTTCTGATAGGGAAAAAAACTAGTACTGGTATTGGCATACTACAAACTGGTGATACTAGGATTTAAAAAAGAAAGGGGGGGGGGGAGAAAGCTATTTGACAAATAACATTAATGAAGACCCAACCATCATCCATTAATACAGACTGATATTGGCAGCCCATATGTTACAAAAATGGTCTAACCAAAAACTATTACCATAATAGACATGCTATAATGTAGACAGAGCACAACATCATCAGACCACTGAGTGACAGAAAATGGATGTTCATCTTTCCATAGAGTGCACATTTTTAGCAACCATAAGGCCTTGGAGTCTGTCCATATAAATCTACATCAAAGGACTTTAATTTATCATTGCATGAACATATGTAAGTAAGGGACAAAGATTTTTCTCAGACAAATGGTTATGAATTGCAACTGTCAAGTCAAGGAAAGTCATTACAAAGCACAACTACATCATATGCCTCAAAAAATCTTTATCCATGTTATGTCGTCAACATCTGGCTGAACTAGCCAGCTTTTCCTCAAAATGTATGGTGGCACTGAACACACCAAAAATACAAGTTTTTTTTGTTAAAACAGTATACATTTTGAACATACAGAATCTGAAGCAGTGATTCATCATATGAGAAAATCTACTTTTTTATTCCATTCAAAGCTTAAGTCCTGAAATTCAAATTGACAACACTCCAGTAAACATCCATCCATACAAAAACAAGATACTCCACTTAGGCAGGAAAAATGAAATGCAAAGATAGAGAATGCGGAATGCCTGGCTCAAAAGCAGTATGTATGAAAAAGATCTTGAAGTCCTCGTGGACAAGTTAAACATGAGCCAACAATGTCATGCGGCAGCTTAAACAACCAAAGAGATTTTGGTCTGCATAAATAGTGTCTAGATCTAGGGAAGTCATGCTACCCCTCTATTTTGTCTTGGTCAGACCACACCTGGAATACTGTGTCTATTTCTGGGCACTACAATTTAAGGGAGATGTTGACAAGCTGGAATGTGTCCAGAGAAGTGCGACTAAAATGATCAAGGGTCTGGAGAACAAGTCCGATGAGGAGTGGCTTAAAGAGCTGGGCATGTTTAGCCTTCAGAATGGAAGGCTGAGAGGAGACATGATAGCCATGTATAAAAATGTGAGAGGAAGCCACAGGGAGGAGGGAGCAGGTTTGTGTTCTACTGCCCTGGAGACTAGCATGCAGAACAATGGCTTCAAACTACAAGAAAGGAGATTCCACCTGAACATTAGTTAGAACTCCCTGAATGTGAGATAGCAGTGGAACTATTTGCCCCGGAGTATGGCAAAGGCTTCTTCCTTGGAGGCTTTTGAACAGCGGCTGAGTAGCCATCTGTCGGGGGTGCTTTGAATGTGATTTTCCTGATTCTTAGCAGGAGGTTGGACTGGATGGTCATACTTACTTACTTACTTAGGCGATCCCTCGTTGGATGAGTAAGATGGTCTTCCATTATGGGTCTCTTCCAACTCTATTTTTCTATACCTAGTGTTGATTTCTCTAAACACCCAATTAATTTTAATTAATATATAAATCACTACTTTACATATCACAATATTTTTAAATGTCGTTGGCTTATTTTATTTATGCATTTATTCCCTCATTTTCTGACAGCAAATTAGAGATATACCTATACCAAACAATCACTTCAATTGACAATTAGAAACTAAACAATGCAAAAAAAGAAGAAAGAAACCCCTACCAACCAGTCTATGTCTCATTCAGAAATATGTCAACTTAGATATCTATCTAAATAGAAAAATCTTCACCAGGAAAAGGAAAAGAAGGAAGTGGTTGCCTGTTTTGGCAGGGAGCTCCAAAGGTATGCACCACACTCCCATACTTGTAACTTTGGGTGTACGAGCTGCAATCATAACATATTTGTCAGGTTGGTCATGCAAGACCAATGTCATACAAAGCATGCACCCATTGCCATTGTGCAAGAATGTTACATATTGTTACTGTTTACACTAGGTTGATTTTGTTCCACACTGCCCTGAGATGTTTAGATACAGGGCTTGTTGTTGTTCATTAATTCAGTTGTTTCCGACTCTTCGTGACCTCATGGACCAGCCCACGCCAGAGCTCCCTGTCGGCCGTCACCACTCCCAGCTCCTTCAAGGTCAGTCCAGTCACTTCAAGGATGCCATCCATCCATCTTGCCCTTGGTCGGCCCCTCTTCCTTTTCCTTTTTCAGGGCAGGATATAAATATAGGTGACAGTATGATAGCTGGGACCCAGTGCTGCCAGCGTTATGCTGATAGTGCAACAGCGATTGTGAATGAGTGAAGGGAACACGTTTCAGACAATGGAACTGGCCGTGAGTTTTTCCCAGGGATGTACTCCTATTTGTGGACAGCCTGGATATGGGCTGGGAACAACATGGAACCATTTAATAATCTTTTGGGTCAGATTGCTGATTTGTATCCTGTTTAAGGTCCTCCCAAACTGTTGTTTACCATTTATCATTAAAGACCTGTTACATTCCTTCACTGTTATGTGTCCCAATGCCAGCAGCACTGAGTCCCAGCTATCATACTATTACCTAAATATATTTCAATTAATATAATTAGTGGGAGCATCTACACCAGGCATGGGCATGTTTTGGACCTCAACTCCCACAATTCCTAGCAGCAGGCATGTAGCCGGGGGGGGGGGGGCTTGGGGGGCTTCAGCCCCCCCCGAAATTCTCATGGTGGTTCGCGAAAAGGCTTTACTGGTGCATTATTTAAACTGTTATGTTTATTCATATCATGATCTGATCACCATACTCAATATATCCCATATGCATGGGGGTATTGGGGTAACGATACAAAAGGTTTGCTTGGGTAGACCCTCTTTCACTCAGACTCAGCCCCCCCCGAAACTCAGCCTCCCCCCCCCCCCCCCAAATCAAAATCCTGGCTAGGGCCCATTTGCCCATGTCTGATCTACAAAGTTGACATAATTCAGCTTGATACTAACTGCCATGCAATCCTGGGAATTGAAGTTTAGTGAAACACCAGCACTCTAAAGACCTTGTCAAACTCGAACACCCAAGATCCCATGGCAGTTCAAGTGGGGCCAGTCTGCATTAATCTACTGCAGGCATGGGGCAAACCTGGGCCCTCCAGGTGTGTTGGACTTCGACTCCCACAATTCCTAACAGCCTTCAAGGCAACCCAGCCAGGCTGTTAGGAGTTGTGGGAGTTGAAGTCCAAAATACCTGGAGGGCCTAAGTTTGCCCAGGCCTGCTATATAATTTACTGAAACACCTGGGCCCTCCAGGTGTTTTGGACTTCACTCCCACAATTACCAGGCATGGCTAGGCTGTTAGGAATTGTGGGAGTTGAAGTCCAAAACACCTGGAGGGCCCAGGTGTTTCAGTAAATTATATAGCAGGCCTGGCTGGGCTGCCTTGAAGGCTGTTAGGAATTGTGGGAGTTAAAGTCCAATACACCTGGAGGGCCCAAGTTTGCCCTATGCCTTCAAGGCAACCCATTAGAGGGGTTTTCTTGGCAAGTTTTGTTTGGCCTCCCCTGGGTTTCGAACCCAGATCTCCAGAGCCGCAGTCCAGCGCTCAACCCACTCCGCCACGCTGGCTCCCTGGAGAATGTAGCTCCTCCCTCCAACATGACGCCCTCTCACCGAGGCTCCACCCACCGGGGGGCCGACTGAGCAGCCTCCATGCGGCCTGAGGGCACTCCGGCTCAACGCGCGGGTCCTCCAAACTGCCTCCAAAAGAGGGGAGCACGCAACAGACGAGCAGACCCAAGGAGTGCGGCCTACACCAAAAGCACATGCGCGGCGGGGGGACTCAGGACTCCCCTACTTCCTCGCCCACTTCGGCTGCACCGCATCAGAGTCGCCATAGAAACCGGGGCGGGGGGGTTTGTGAGGTGTGGGCGGGGCTTCTTTTCTCCCCGCCTCCAAAAAAACCTTTGGTTGGGCGCTTCCCTTGTCCATCACTCACCGTTTCTCCAATGGGGGACTTTCTGTGTATATTCCTTAACAACTTTGTTACACACAACAGCGATAGCTCTTCGTTACTTTTGCCATTCTTATCTCTTATCTCTTATCGTCTTATCTCATATTGCCCAAGTTTAACTCTATTTCTTTGGAGTGTCTTAGGGGTAGATCTACACTGTAGAATGAATGCAGTTTGACACCACTTTTAACTTTTTTTTTCAGCCAGTAGAAGTGTGGTTTTGCTTTCTGGATTTCAGCTTCCCAAATCCTCCAACTGGATGGAAGTTCTAAAACCTGGAAGATAAAAAAGAAAATAAATCCCCTTTTCCTCAGCTCTTGTTTTGTTTCAGTAAATTATATAGCAGGCCTGGGCAAACTTGGGCCCTCCAGGTGTTTTGGACTTCCACTCCCACAATTCCTAGGGGCAGAGAGTTCCACTGCTGAACGGCTATCACAGTCAGGAAGTTCTTCCTAATGTTCAGATGGAATCTCCTTTCTTGTAGTTTGAAGCCATTGTTCTGCATCCTAGTCTCCAGGGAAGCAGAAAACAAGCTTGCTCCCTCCTCCCTATGACTTCCTCTCACATATTTATACATGGCTATCATATCTCCTCTCAGCATTCTCTTCTTCAGGCTAAACATGCCCAGCTCCTTAAGCTGCTCCTCATAGGGCTTGTTCTCCAGACCCTTGATCATTTTAGTCACCTCCTCTGGACACATTCCAGCTTGTCAACATCTCCCTTCAATTGCGGTGCCCAGAATTGGACACTGTATTCCAGGTGTGGTCTAACCAAGGCAGAATAGAGGGGTACCTAGATATAGCTCAACTCCCAGGGGAAGAATCTGGATCGTTTTTTTTTTTGTTAATATGTTTTTGTGCAGGCGTTTTGAGTAATTTAAGTGGCAATCGGGTATGAGGGGGTGGAAAATTAGGAAATGGGACACAATGGAACGTACGAAAAACCTGGGGGGTGTGGGGGACTACCAACTTGTGGCTGATGAGGGGGGGAAGAATTGGGTAACAGTTTTGTTTTTTTCATTAATAACATTGTGCTCATTGTAAGTGTGCTTATTGGTTCATTTTATGGATTACAATGGTGGTAAGTCAAATTTTTGTTATAAATGTGTATGGGGAAAACCCAACTGCTTGGTTTTCTGTACCGGGTGGTTTTTAGTTTTGGTTTACCGCTGGGGTGAGTAGGGGCCCTTTTCTGGGCTCTGGGAAAGACTTTGAGGCATGGTACAGGCGGGGTATTCATTAAGGCAAAGTAAACAATAAAATGTAAAACAAATAAAAAAGTATAGACCTACCAAACCTAATTAATGATAGAATTGGGGCTTTTTTTGCCAAATGTTTTATGACTCCAACATTGAGTGTTTCAACTTGGTTTTTTCCAACATCTGGGTTGGACTCCAAGATCTTTTTCACACGTACTGCTCTCGAGCCAGGCGTTCCCCCATTCTGTATCTTTGCATTTCATTTTTTTCTGCCAAAGTGGAGTATCTTGCATTTGTCACTGTTGAACTTCATTTTGTTAGTTTTGGCCCATCTCTCTAATCTGTCAAGATCGTTTTGAATCCTGCTCCTGTCCTCTGGAGTATTGGCTATCCCTCCCAAATTTGGTGTCGTCTGCAAACTTGATGATCCTGCCTTCTAACCCTTCATCTAAGTCATTAATAAAGATGTTGAACAGAACTGAACCGAGCAGCACTCCACTTGTCACTTCCTTCCAGGATGAAGAGGAAGCATTGGTGAGCTAACCGTTGTTTTGCCTAGCCCACATTTGACTAGTTTAGTTGCCCGAAGGTTATGGGGGACCTTGTTGAAGGTCTTACTAAAATCTAGATACACTATATCCATGGTGTTCCCTGCATCTATCCAGCAAGAAAATAATTGTTGTTATTGCCAAGAAAACCAAATTATAACTTTGCCTAAGGTTTAGCACCAGTTGTAAAGTAAGGAGATTCACAATATCAAGTCAAGTTTACCCCTTAAGATTCTGAATAAAACTTCCCTACCAAATTCCTGCAGAAAGATTGAAAACTGAAAGACAAAAAAAATAACCACATTTACTAAATTCCACTGAGTGCTACACTTAAAATGTGGGAAGCCACTGTGTTCATCACATTAGGTTGGGCTCAAGTGTAGAGTAGAGCATTCTTTGCATACGTTACGCGTGGGAGCCAGAATTCTTATCAAACACTTCAGGAGGTGGGTTTTTGGTAATGATCCAGATGTTTTGCCAATTCTGTAATGTGATGGCATTTGTTGCCCTCAGTTTTAAAATTTAATGATTCCACAATTTGTGGGAGGGGAAATTGTGGGAGGAGTCACAAGTACCCTTGTTAGTGAAAGTTCTGTCATTACCTTTTGTTCACCAAGTTTTTACTTTAAATGCTAGTAGGATGGTGGTGGTGGTGGTGGTGATGGTTACGATGGTGATGATATTATTATGCCATGTCTTCATGCTGTGCAGTCCTGGGAGTCATAGTTTTCCAAGGTCCATACCTTTCTTTTGGTGCATTTACAGCATGGAATGAATGCCCTTGCACCCTGCTTTAAATGCCAATGAGTACTCCTGGGAGTTATAGTTTCCCAAGGTCCATACGTTTCTCTTAGTGCATCTGCACTGTGGAATGAATGCAGTTGAGCCTTTCTTTAAATGCCATGTCTCCATGAGATGGTCTTGGGAACTGCAGTTTCCCAAAACCCATGAACCTTTTCTGGGTGCATCTACGCTGTGAAATGAAGGCAGCTGGACCTTACTTTAAATAGCATAGCTCCATGTTATGCAGTCCTGGGAATCATGGTTTTCCAAGGTCCATACCCTTCTCTTGGTGCATTTACAGTATGGAATGAATGCCCTTCCACCCCACTTTAAATGCCATAGAGTCCTCCTGTGGGATAGCCAAGAGAGAGGGCAGGCAGAGTGCATTGCACTTTCTCTCCCTCCCTCCCTGTTTCTGGAATTGAAGACACGTAACAGCCGACATTTCAAAGAGCGGAGGTTTTTTTCCTCCCAGAAACAACACTGGGAGGGATGATGGGCGGTGCTTAGTGATTACAGTGTGATGGGAAATGAACTGAAAGAATGCTGAGTATAACTGAGTAACACGGATACATTTAACAGTGTGATGAAGATAGGTAGGGAAATCATCTGTTTTGTTTCAAAACTGAGTCAGACTGAGCTCTACTCTACAAAACACTTCCCTGCTTCAATGTGATGAAGTCCAAAAAATGGAGGAAACATTTGAAATCATAATTTAAAGCCAACCATTTGTAGAAGAGTTTGGAAGAGAAAGAAGTCCCAATCTATCAACATTAACTTTAAGTGACTGAGCACTAACCTGTGTTTGGTAGCTGATGACCCAAATGATGATCTAGTCTTCTGTGTGTATAAGAGTATGAGTGCTTGAGATATGGCAGTTTTAAAGGGTTTTTCAGTGTATGAACTCACAATGACATTTGGAATGATTGTTCATATCGTCGTGGAGTTGGTTTCTGGAATCCTAGAGTTTTCCATGTTCTTTCAGGCAACTGAATATGTCAAGACTAGATAAATGAGATTTCAGTGAGTGTTTTGAAGCAGCAGCTTTGTATATGCTAACCCAGTTTTACCCTACATTAGGAGAAGTTAGGAAATGAGAAGGGGACAACTCTGATTTTTTAAAACAATTCTTTTAACTATCGCAGACACATTCAAAGCATGGCAGCAAGCCCGTGCTCGAGCAATGACACACCCTGTCTTGGTATCTACAGACTATACTTATGTGGTAAACCTTAATCTATCTGTCCAAGCATGTTTCCAAATTTCAATTTATAAAAGTTGGGCAAAAATTATTATATTTGCCTTTTTAAAAATAACTTGCTGACACATGTGAATTGTGACTTAAAACCAACATTAGTCACAACTCAATAAATATTAAACGATGACTTTCAACTTTACATTTTTTAAGTATTGGTGTCAGTCTTTGTTCTGTGTATTTTAACATATGCATTTTAACAGTATTATTTTTTCTATATTTTTAACCATGTTGTACCCCACCTTGAGCTGTGAGGAGAGATGGGTAGCAATTAAATGTTGTTGTTGAGTAATCCTATTAAATCAATGAAACGTAGTTAACTTACCAAGTTCTCAGTGATTTGATGTGGCAATTCTGTTTTGGGTGAATAGTTGGGTTTAGGTCTATGTATTTACTGTGACACCCACTGTAACCTGCCCTGATGGTTTATCTGGTTAAACCATTGAGCTGTAGAACTTGCTGACCAAAAGGTTGGCAGTTCAAATCTGGGACACGGGGTGAGCTTCCACTGTTAGGCCCAGCTTCTGCCAACCTTAGCAATTCAAAAACATGCAAATGTGAGTGGATCAATATGTACTTCTGTGGGAAGATAGCGGCGCTCCATACAGTCATGCTGGCCACATGTCCTTTGAGGTGTCTACAGTCAATGCTGGCTCTTTGACTTAGAAATGGAGGTGAGCACCACCCCTAGAGTCAGACACAACTAGACTTAATGTCAGGGAAAATCTTTATTTCTACAGACAACGCCAGCTCTTTGGCTTAGAAATGGAGATGAGCACCACCCCCCAGAGTTAGACACAACTACACTTAATTTCAAGGGAAACCTTAATGTCTAGAGCAGTATTTCCCAAACTGTGCTCCTTTGGGTGTTTTGGACTTCAGTTCCCAGAAATCCCAGCCAGCTTACCAGCTGTTAGGAATTGTGGGGGCTGAAGTCCAAAACATGTGGAGGAGCACCATTCAAGAAACACTGGTCTAGAACAAAATTGGGATAAGAAAAGATGAGGGAATTAATTTAATTACCAGGTGCCAATATTCATACTTGATGCTTTCTAACAAATATGAATTAATATAGTAGAAAAATGCTTGGAAGCAACTAGGAATGTTTGGAAGCATTTTAAATATGTACATATTTTGGTCCAAGTTGTCCGGAGCCTTGACCATGAATCCACAATCCAGGTCAAGCTGATAGTCCATAGAGGTGCAAACATTAATAGGATAACACAACAGAGAAGCTGAATGTCTGTTCCAGGGTCGTAAGCCAATTAGGATCCAGAGTACAAGGTTGATTCAGAATCCACAAGACAAGGTCCTAGCTTTAGTCCAGAGTTCAGAGTTCGTAAGTGTCCAAGGTCATAGCTTCTAGAACTGACATTGCAGCCAGCAGCAACGTTCCTCAATCTGCTCAGAGGAACTCACCCTTGTTCTGCAGGCTGAATAGTAGTAGTTACTTCCATGGGTACTTCTTCAGAGATTGGCTGTGGGAGTTACTAGGCATTAATGGGCTCCAGCACCAGCATCTTCTCAGGCTCCAGGCTCCATGAACCAAATGCTTAAAGTACTGGTTTATGAAATTATAGTGCTTTGAATTCTGTATGTGCAGAAGATTATATTCTTTTGAAACAACAAGCACTCTATAAAGTCTAACATAGATTACAAAGCCATGCATGCAACAAATCACAATGAATTGCAACGAAATGACAAGTAATATTACAGATATAATCATAATTGCTAAAATGAGTGGTTTCTCAGTGTCTCAATGTGTATATAGGCATGCACAGACAGAGCTTAAACGGGGCTCAGAAAAGGTGTGGGATATAAACCTTCCTTCTGGAATAGCAGATCCCTGGAAGTAATCAGTCTATATGAACTATATATGTTTCTCTGATATATAATTATCTCTAACCACAGAAGGATGGAGGGAGGTCTGCAGAAATGCCCATAGATGGTTAGCCATGTTTTCAGGAGACCCCTAAAGTCAGCCTAGTGCAAAGACAAGGTAAATGAAAACCACTCCACTTTTGAAGTTGTCTGTCTTCTTCCTTGAAATATTCTACAGTCTTGCATTTTCTTGCTGAGACTGAAGAACATATTTTCACCACTTTGTTAGAGTACAGTTATACACAGAAAATGAGAACATTGTGTGCATTCATGTGATCTACAAAAAGATAGGAAATTGGATCATTTTTTCTAATGATGGAATTGCCACCTGGTGATTTTCACCTGATGAAGGTCACAAGTTGACATTTTTGGTGTCAAACTCATGGTGATGAAAATAAGAAACTCAAGTCCACAGCAAAGAGTAATTTTGATGACAGGAAATTAACTTCACTGAAATACATCCATCCAGTCAAGGAAAGGCTTTTCAATGCTGGTTGTTCACCATTTTCTTGGTTTTTGACAGGATGTTTGACATAGCAGTAGTCCGCTCTGTGTCCTTAATCTGATACATCTGAAACTGGAAAAAACATACCTATGAAAATGTATCTCTGTCATTGCAGAAGTACACAAACTCCACCACCACTATTACTAAACATTATGTACAGGGCTATGGGCATTTTAGCATACACAGTTGTCAGTATTTCTCAGACTGGCATGGCATTTGCTTTTGGATTTGTTTGTGTTGTAATTTAAGGGATGTATATCCCAGCCTTCAGGTTCCCAGGGTGGCTGATGATGATCAATATCTATCAGAACAGGGAGGAAGAGATAGTACGTGTCCCAATTTGGGGCCACTCTTATTTCCAACAAAACTAGGATTGCCAGGTCAGAAGCATCCCAAGGCAGAGATTTTGGGGCTCATACTTGAGATCTAAGAATGATCATTAGTATTATTTGACAGGGGAGAAGAATAATCTGGACTAAAATGGATCTCTTGAAGTCTGGCTTCCAACTAAAGCAGTTTCTAGTAAAGCCAGCAACACAAGAGATACATGATAGACAGATAGACAGAGAGATTAACACATTTTTGAATGACTGTTCTCATGCTGACAACCGAGTGATTGTTCTCATGCTGACAACCAAAACCCTGAGCACTGGAAAAGAGACTCCAAGCCTGGCTCTGATATCTGATACCCTACAAAAACATACCCTTAATCTTGTGAACCTGATGACTCCTTTTCTTCCTCAATGAGCCATCTCTCTACTATTGCTTGTACATGTGTATACGACAGTACTCTCAGGATGCCGATACACTCCGACACTACTTTAACTACCATGGTTTAATGCTATGGAATCCTGGGAGGTTTAGTTTGACAAGGCCTTTAGATTTCTTTGCCAAAGATTGTTTGTGCCTCTCCAGACTATAACTCCCAGGATTCCATAGCACTAAGTCATGGAAGTTCAAGTGGTGACAAACTGCATACATTCTATAATATAGATGCACTCCGGTTGGATCTACACTGCTATATAATCCAGTTCAAAGCAGATAATCAAGATTCCAAAACTGGATATTTCTGTGTAGATGGGGCCTCAATTTTACATGTGTTGCAGGTATGTACCCCAAACTCTTGAGCCTCTGGATTCTAGAGAAGAAGGGGGAAAGGAGATCCCACAAGAGCCAAGGTTTGCCCATCCCTACATTAATCCAATATCATATCTGACATAATTTGGGTCATAAATCTTTATCAAAAGGCTGTAGACATTTAGGTTTCATGTTTGGCATATGACAGTTTTGTTGGTAATTTTAAATAATTTCCTCAGTCTGAGTCAAATCTTGTGAAATTAGGTTGTGAGTCTTGTTGAGTCAAGGCTCAGTCATCACCATTTAAGTTTCTGTAGTTTTTAGTAATTTCAAGTGAGCACTAAAGGATGGAATCACTCAGCAATATACTCAGGAGTTGGTTTCACAACATTTTTAAATGATGCATGTATATACCTTTTTCAAACAAATACATTTTTAAGTATTGTATAACCGACTACAGGAATTAGTTTCTAATGTGTCATTACAATTGCAACATCCTTTTAATGGAATTACCTCTCCACAAAATTGCACTTAGGACCAAAATTACCGTACTATATTTTTACTGCTAAAGACGTTACAGTCAGCCCTCCACATTAATGGGTTTGACTTTTATGGATTTCAATATTCATGGATTTGATTAAAGTGTTTATTCTAGGAATCTCTAGGTCTTTCAGTATGAGTCTAGAGTCAACTTTCACTGCGATCGTCCAATACAGAAGTTAGCCATTGAATCACGTGGAGGACCTAGAGATTCCTAGAGAAGGTTTTCCTACTTTTGCAATTTTCCTCTATACCCTTAACCCCAGCAAATGTGAAAGGCTAACTGTACTGAATTTTTCCAGGCTATTACAATGTATTAAATTGTAGCAAATTCTATTTGATTTTGATTTTTGTATTGAAGCCAGTTTTTTAAAAAACCATTGGAATGCTGGCTAACCCATTTGTATTATATGGCTGCTATAGTACATCTTAAATGAAGCACTGGTGTCAGCCATGTTTAATGTAATGCTTCTTAGTTTACTTTTAGGGTGCATATTGTAATGTTTACTCATGCTCTAGTTCTTTATGTCTTAGTGAGTGTTCTTGTTCTATTTTTATTTCAATGCTTAATTCCTTCATCGTAAGTTTACTGTTGTTACAATCCATATTTATTTATTTCGTATCAAAAGCATTGCATAAATCAGTATAAAACTGACAAAAATAGAAGGAGCACAAGCAATTAAATATCTTTTGACCAGAAATGGGGAAAAGCAACGGCATTGTCTATAGCCTCCAACAATTCTTCCTCTGTATATGAGGCAGGGCATAGTGGACAAGCATACAGATGTGAAATTGTCTGTTCTGCTCCACAGTCATACAAGGTAGGAGATTGTTTTAGGTAGTGCCATTTTGCCAGGTTGTCTTTTGATCTGCCTTCTCCACTTCTGAGTCTGTTCAGGGACTTCCAAGTTGCCCATTCTTGGTTTGCCCCTGGAGGAAGACCCTCGCCGGGTGAGGGGGGGATCCAACTGGGATTTCCTGGTTTAGCTGCCCAGAGGGATACTCTTGCTGTTTCTGGGGGGACCTTAAGAGGAGTATTGGTTCTCATGAAGCTTTTCCTTGATTGAAGTCTACTGCGGGGAGGCTGATGGTTTTCACAGTGTTCAGCCTTATTTCTCTCACAGATCCTGTATTATTTTGGTGTGTTTGTACCAAATTGAGGCATTTAATGTTTGGCTTTTTAATATGTAAACCACCCTGAGTCCCTCCCGGGGGGGGGGGGGGGGGGGGAGAGAAGTCTGTTGTTGTTGTTGTTGTTTGTACTGTGAGCAATATTAAAGAACAGAATATAAACATTTTAAATACATTTTAAAGACTGGAAAAACTCTCTGGGGTTGAACCTAGTATGCATGAGAAAATCCCAAAGATCTCACTCAGAAACTAGATGATAACATTTCATGCTTTACAACACCTCTGTTTATGAGTCAATTACCTTATTAAGCAGCATATCAAAGAAGGCAGTGTTCCAGTAGGACTTATCTTCAGCTGGAAGATGAAGCAAGGTTTTGAGACCATTGTCCATTTGCTTGTATGTATTGCCTCCTCTTGTGGCAAAACGGAATTTCAAGAAGAGCTCTGGAGTGCAAGCAAAGTTCTCCACTTTAGGATACAAATTACTAAGGTCCACACTGTCATTTTGGAACAGATTTTGCTCGGGATACAGGAAATGGGGAAGATCTTTTGTCACCAAGCAGCAAAGCAAGACCACCAGCAGACGATACACAGACCCCTCCAGAGATATCCAGTCTTCAGGTGAAGGGAAAAGGTGAGTGGCCCAGAGCAACACCATCTGGAAGGAAACACAAACAGTCAGTAAAGACAAAGCAGACATCTCTGCTGCACGTGAGACATTTTCCAAAACAAACATGGCAGGCTAAGTATTCCACCTTTAGAAGCTGGGTGTCTTATGTCAATTCATGGACAAAGGTGACTGCTGTTAGTTCCAGTTGCTAGCTATGCTTTCTAAAGCATTCTGGAAGCAGTGATACAAAAGGCTACCTTTTACTAGTTCTGGAAAAGGGGCACTATGAATGGCATTGCAGTGGCATTAATGCTATGCAACACCTTTCATGTTTCTTACAATAATCATTAAGTTGCTTAGTGAACTGCAGTTCTGCCCTTCTAAATCTTAACCCATAGACAAAACATTTATTGTGTACTTGCTCTGATTCTCTGTTAGTTGTTTGATATCTGTTTAACATTTTCCATAGATAGTAAAAGTAATTTTAAAAGGTATATTCCTCTCCTATAGATGACTGTTTTGCCTTTAGTCTCATCCTAAAGCAAGAGCTTCCCACGTCGCACCATGCATACAGATTACCTGCAGACTTCCTGCAGTGGCTTATGTGAGTGGCCAACTTTGTCCTTGTTGCTTTTGACATGTGTATACCTATGTGTGTGCATGCCCCTTCAAGTTGCCTCTTGAGTTATGGTGACCCCCTGAATTTCAGGAATACTTAACAGATAGCTATTACATTTCCTTTCTCTGAAATATAGTCTGGGGCTCCTGATATTCATTGACAATGCCCTATCAAACTACTAACCAGAGCTGATTTTGCTAAGTTCCCAAGATCAGATGGGATTTGCAACCTTAGGGAATTTAGATATACTCAATTACTACTATTTCATTAAAGTTTCTTTGTGCAATTAAGAGACAAGCATTGCAAGTAATCAGCTTTCCATCAAAGCAAAGTAACTCGTAATGTTAAGCCAAGCAAGGCAAGCATAATAAACTACAGGGCAATTAAGAAGAGAATGTGTAGATAAAACTGAGGAAAAACAAGACATGAATCTCAAATGCTATTTGTTCTGAAGTTGGCTTCCTTTTGTGGAACGATCTTGCAGTTAGCGACAATTAAAAAGTTCAGCAACTAAGGTAAAATGCCTACAAGCTACACCCAAATGGCATACACCCAAATGTTTGTAAAACATGTTCTGCAGCTCCTTGTTCTCTACCCTGCAGTTGTGAGAGATGGAGCACGTCCAAACAATGAAATGCAACCCATCCAAAAATATTAGGTGGTCCTAATACGAGCATGCTGAGATAGTATTGTATACATTAAAATAGATCGGCTATTTTTCTTTCACCCCTATGGAACATACTGCTACACCTGGGAGAAAACAGCCAATAAAGCTACACATAAAAGTCATAGTACTGAAATGAGAGCAAAATTCATTCCATCTGCTGCTCCTTGCTCCAGGCTTTTTCTTTCCACTTTCTTACATCTGCAGTTTGGGAAACAAGTTTTTCTAATTCCATAGGGATCACGTTGATTTTAGATTCAACCATTTAAAAAGAAAAACAGTCCTACCATCGGTGTTCCTTACTCATAGGGGTGTGGTTTTTTAAGCATGGCACAGGAATCAGAATTTCATGCCTTTTCCAACTGTTTTAGCTACTATGGTACAAAGAGCACAGCCCGCTGTGAGGCAAATGCAGCACTTCAAAGGAATCAAGATTAGCAGTCCAGGGAGAATAAAAAGCTACCTCCAAATGGTGAGATGTAAGCCCCTTTTTCTTGCCTTCTTCTTTCCAGTTCTCATGGTTGACTTGGACAAGGAGGCGGAGACTGTCCAGATAGTGCCCCTTTAGGTTGCTCACAATTTGGACAAGTTTGAGGATGGGGCGATTGGTGCAGTACCTAACAAGAAAGACATAAAGTTAGACATTCAATGGTTCATTTAGAATTCACTGAGCTTCAGTGCAGTTAATTACAAAGGGGAACCCATGAAAGAAATCAGGGATATGGAAACGTATTCTCTCTCAGGTACTGTTGGACTACAACTCCCACTGTTATTCACTATTGCTACAGCAGCTAGTTTTAATGTGAGTTACAATCTCCAGAAATCCCCTATCCTCTGAATAATGTAACAATGCCCCAGAATCCATGATGTGGGTTATTGACCCAAGTCAATGATCCCATTAGCACATTAATATTCCAAGCTGGTCCTCTTCTGTGGAAAAATATGCAGAGGAAGTAGATACTATTAATGTAGGAATCACTCTTAGGTTTGTTTGTTTTTCAAATTCAAAGAAAAGGTGCATTGTTTTTAAACTGGAAACGCTGGAAATCACATCCATTACAAATAACTAATGAGCTATCTCAGCCTCTGACAGATATGAGAGGTTGACCACAATGTTGTGTTCTGGAATCTTGTCATCTGAGACATGTGGATTATAACCTCTATAGGTGAAGATACCCATACTGCTCTTTCAAATTGAATAGAGTTAATGTATGACAGCTGTACTGTCTCCACCACAAATTCACATGAAGTCCTACTGTTTTGAATGGCATAAATTAATTGGTGGAATTATAAGGTGAATACACACAGAATGCTACAGATGAATGGATTCCAAAAATATGTACACAGTCAAAGGTGGAACAGGCAGCTTCAGTAATGTTGCCACATCCCATGTTGACATTGGCCAGTGTTACCATTTTGTATGCTATTTTTGTTTCAGGTATGCAGATGTTCAAGTTACTCCCTCTTCTGCAAATACTCTCAAAAATGTAACATGTAAATCAGCCTGAAGTATACTGGTTAAACCCATCCCTTCCCTTGTACTGTAATTATTTATATTCCCAACAAGTCTGTAGTCCAAATTGTAGGCAAAGTTCTTCCACACATTAACTTTCATGACTGGTCAGGTAAAATCTATAATCTCTTTTGTCTTGCCTCTAAAATCTCCTGGGGAAATGCATCACAATCATGTAATGATGCAGGGAGTTGCTGATTTGAGAGATTAAAATGAAGCCTGAAGGTTCCTGACAGCATAGCTCACCTGAAATTCTCCTAAAACTGAGCCTTCAGAATAGTGACTGAATTGGGGGGGGGGGGGRTTAATAATCTGTGTCTTTGATTTAAAAAATTAGTATATAGAAGTTGCTAACGAACATGGCTGATCCAAAAACTCATGAAAAAGAGTCTGCTTTTAAAACTGGTCAGATTGTAACTCATATATAATATTTGATCTCCAGTTCATACAGTTTTTGACTAGAACTTCTTAGTTAACTGTGATCTGTTAAAGATGTCACCTGGCTGAATGAACTTCTGATCTCAAGCTGTAACTCTCTGGCAACCTCTTATCTCTCTTTTGAATATGGTGTGTTTATTATTAGCAAAGCCTATTATTAAAGATGCCTTGGTTCTGGAAAGGCAGACAAAGAGAGAGAGGCAGACAAAGAGAGAAAGCACATCTTGGGTTGTGCTGGCCTTGACTGAACTTATTTTGAATTCCTGTGACCAAATTTATCCTGGTCCACCAAGAGTGCACAATCTTTTTAGTGCAAGCAGGTTTATGTAGGCATATGCACACACTCATAAGCAACCAACTTTCCTCATTGCAAGAGAATTGAGCTACCATGATAAACCTGATAGACATTTCTCTCTTTGCACTGCCGGTGATATAAATTGGTGAAAATTGTCTGCTGGAGAATTGTGATATCCATGAGAACTGTACATAAGGCCTTTGGAGGATTCACATGGTTCCAAAGTTGTGGGTTGTGTTCTTGCAGTATGAATATAATCCGTTGCTCAAGTGAACAGATATAGGAGATAATCCCTTTCCCTGTACATTTTTCTCTTGACTACTCAGGTGGGCAAGCCCATCAGCTTCACAAAAACTAAGCTTCTGTTTTAGGCATGAAGATCCAACCTTAGCTAACTGTATCTTGGCCTCAAATGGTATAGGAGGTCTCATGTAACTCCCTACCACACAGACCCACCAGAACCTGGTTTGGGAATTCTATGCCTTTCACACACAGAAAGGGTTACACCTCCTGCACTCCTGTATAAAAAGCATAGCAGTTAAGAATCTAAAATAGCATTTACTACATTATTTAATATGTATATAATCTACTCAACTAGGCCTTCTCCTTGATTCTCAGTCTTAAAAGATTTATATGAACAGATAATGCTGGTAAATCTCATGCCTGAACAAGTTGCCTCAGAAAACCTCAGAGCTGTAATTTCTCACAATTTTAAAGTATCAAGCCTAGTATGGTACAGTGCAATGGCTCTATGTACTACACAATAACATGGTACCAGTGTTTCCTAAACTATCTAATGTGAGAGACTGGCAGGGTTTTCCTCCTTCAATGTGCCAGGCATCTGCGTCATACTGTCAGAACAGCAATGGACAACCTCAATAGGGAGGGCAAGAGAGCAGTCTTTTCCTCTAATGTATAAATCCAGATTCCTAGTTTTCATTTTTTTTACAGCAAGTATCTTTCCTTTGTAAAAAAAAAAAATTCTTCGTGTCAGGAGCGACTTAAGAAACTACAAGTCTCTTCTAGTGTGAGAGAATTGGCCATCTGCTAGGATGTTGCCCAGGAGATGCCCAGATGTTTTGATATTTTACCATCCTTGTGGGAGCTTCTCTCATGTCTCCACATGGGGAGCTGGAGCTGACAGAAGGAGCTCATCTAGACTCTCCACGGATTTGAACCTCTGATCTGTTGGTCTTCAGTCCTGCCAGCACAAGGGTTTAACCCATTGCACCACTAGGGGCTCCTTTGCGAAGGGTGAGATATAAAGCAAAATGTCCAGCCACCATTCTGTCCATGTTTACTTACCGTACTAATCTATAACATTTTAGATTTTTCAGCCAGTGAAGTAACTCATAACCATAACTAACTGGCACACACTCTTTCTTAAAAATGAATTTCATGATTCATTTTAAAAACATTTTTCATCTTTCCAAAAGAAGGATATTATGACTGTCCCATAACCAAATTAATAATATGAAATCCAAGAGTTTAATATAACCATGATAGGATTGTAGTGTGTCTAATCACCACCACTCTTTTAAATGGTAGCAGGAAAGGCAGGAGTTTATCAGGAGTTTTTATATTTCAAACTCAGGTGTTTATTAAAAGTCAGGACCCCCCACACCCTAGTTATAAGCATTCAAAGATAAACCCTATTTATTCATACTGGTCAAATCTATAATGCTTATACCATATTGCAGAAGGCAGGACTAAGGTTGAGAGATTGTAGGTTAGGGCAAATATGTGAAATGGCCTAAAGTCATAATGCCCTTTTCTGAGAAAATCCGGGGTGCTGCATGACAACAACATATTTTCATACACAATATGTTCTGTTTGTGGGGAAAATGTACAGTCCCCCTACCCCACACCCCAAAGCCCACAAGCATCCTTGGAAACAGCGTAATGTTACATCTTTACCTCCAATGATAATAACTAGCAGGGATGAACTCTGCCTCCTGAATGACTTTGTTCACATTGCCTTGTGGAAATCCCTTTTCTTGCCAACAGTTGCTGAGTTTCAGAGCATTCTGTTTTCTTCTTATTACAGGAACAATGTTAAAACGGATCATTTTCCAACCACTGGATATCAGTAAAGGCAACTGTATGTCATCATCTTTTAGCCTCTCAGCACTAAGTTCACCTAGAAATGGTCAAAAGAAAAGAGAGTAAGAGTTCTGTGGAATTATACACAAGACAGCAGCTTCAGGCTTCCACCACTGCGAAAGCCCTAGAGGTCTTTTCTCCTGTAAACAGGATTCATATCAGAAATCACACAGAATGCAATTCAAATTACCCAACACCCAAGAATGAGAAAATGCATACTTTGCAACTCACACCTAAGAATACAGTGGAAGGGAGAGGGATTCTTAGGGTTCATGATGCAATGAACATTAGCTTGGAAAACTATTTTTCCCCAGAATCTTGCAGAATCTGCAACCTGAACCTAGCATGGCTGACTTCAGGTCACTAAGGAAGTAGGGAGTTAGGATCCAAATCTATATAAATAAAAATGTAATGTTCATTTGGGGGATTAACAGAACTCAAAAACCACTTGACGAATTGACACCAAATTTGGACACAAGACTCCTAACAACCCAATGTATATCCTTCACTCAAAAAAATTGATTTTGACATTTGGGAGTTGTAGTTGCTGGGATTTATAGTTCACCTACAATCAAAGAGCATTCTGAACCCCACCAACGATGGAATTGAACCAAACTTGGCACACAGATATCCCATGACCACCAGAAAATACTGGAGGGGTTTGGTGGGCAGTGTCCTTTGGTTTTGGAGTTGTAGTTCACCTACATCCAGAGAGCACTGTGGACTCAAACACTGATGGATCTGGACCAAACTCTACATGAATACTCAATATGCCCAAATGTGAGCACTGGTGGAGTTTGGGGAAAATAGAATCCTGACATTTGGGAGTTGTAGTTTCTGGGATTTGTAGTTCACCTACAATCATAGAGCATTCTGAATCCCACCAACGATAGGATTGGGCCAAACCTCCCACAGAACCCCCATGACCACCAAAGTGGGCCACAGCAATGCGTGGCAGGGGGCGGCTAGTGAGTAATATTTCCAAGCTTTGTCCTGGACCCAAAGCAACACAAATAAATTGTGCTGCCATAGAAGATTGTACATAGACCCCAAAATGGGTAGGAGGGGAAACTGAGCTCAGATTATCTGAAGAACTGTCTTCGACATATGAAAAATAGAGAGAGGCTGCAGGTAGAGCACCAACATGCATGGGCTCAGCAACTGATGAGAGACCATCCATCCCAAATGCCACTGTTGCAGCCTCAAAGGGAAAAGTGGCAAATACAGCTGCATCATGTAATGCCCAGAACCAGAGAAAAGGCTCTCTATCCATCCCAACTTCACTGCCCTGGCCTACAATGGTAATAAGAGACAGGCAACACATTTAGGTCCCGAATCAAATAAAAGACTCTCCTTCTAACCCAACTGCCACTACTCTGCATTCAGAGTGAGAGAAGCAGAGGCAGTACTACGTCTATATTTTGACCAATTTATACTCAAAAGATTTCTCTCTCTCTTTTTTAGTGTTCAGTATTCTTTCCTGCAGCATTATTTCTAAAAACCACAACTCAAAGCATTCCTAATAACCAAACAAAGAGAACCGGAGGGATGAAATAAATTGGTGCAGCATATGATTAAGTGCTCAGTATTGATTCTTGTTACCACTGACTCTCAGTAAAGCTGACAGGTTACTTGGCTTTCTTGCAAAACTCCATAACATTCAACTTACTCATATTCATTATTGTGACAATTGCAAAGTGGTCCCAGAAGGCATATATGAAACAGACTTCAGGGATAGGCCATATGTATGTCATATACAAAACATGTAATTCTGAATGTCTTGTGAATCCCTGAAATCAGGAATTTCAAGATATTAGTTACATTACCACAACAAGAGTCATTTTAAAAATAAAATGCATCAATACCAGCTGTTTCTAACGGCACATCAACAAACAGCCTCCTGAAATATCCTGGCACATTATAGTCTACATCTCTAAAAACCCTATCTAGATATGGAAATTTTAGAGATAAAAGATGGATTCGGAGGCATAGGACTACTCATACCAATTCTCTTCTTTGCTATCTTAACTCTGAAACGAGAAAGTCTGTCCTGTTGGACAAGTGGTCTTATTAACAAAAGACCCTCCTCATAAATATACAGCAGAGTAACTTATTAGCAGCAGCATGACCCAGCATCAGTAACCCAAAGTGATAAAAAGAACGAAAACACACAGACCAATGTTATATCTTCCTTAGGAGGCTTTTCTTTTTAGCAAAATAATATGATTGTACAATTTACACGAACAAGGTTTCCATCACACAAATAAAGTTCTTTACACTTCCTTCTTTTCTTCCATGCTGGGCTTCTTTCTCATGCAGATAAACAGCTTTGCTCTCACAGAGCCTCCCCACACACCGAAGTTACACAGGAGTTTCACACAGTAGTTTTTTGCACACGGCAGCCTTCACACTGGAGCTTCACATTCAATGGCCTTCAACATGGGGCTTCTCTCACTGACGCTTCTCACACCAGGCCTACTGACACCGAGGCCTTTCTCCCACTGAGGTGAACACTGAGGCCTACCTCATACTGAGGTCTACTAACACACTGAGGCCCTTCTCTCACAGTGAGCTCTTACAGACTGGGACTACTAAGCGACAGGCACACCTGCTTATATTGAACTGCAGCTTTTGCTGAGTTATTGTATCCATTTAACCCTTTCAGTGCTTGACTCACATTTTTGTAATTAAAGATACCTAGCTAATATTTAATATTTCTGACATGTCCTTCACCAGCATCCTGCTACTTGGTTGCTGAGTTTGGATCTCTCCTCATACACCTCATATAACGTTACTTCCTAATGAGGGCCCTACTAGTAAATAGAGTGAGGCATCTGCCTCAGGCAGCAGATTCTGAGTGTGATGAACAAGCGGTTAATCATTAGTTGCTTTAATTAGGACTTACCATTAGTGAGTTGTTACCAATTCTCAGATATCCTGAAGATTCAAGTTTAATTATCTTGTGTACCCACAAGGATTTATTTTTGCTTAATTAAGGTCATAATCACTCTCAGTATTTTCTTTCTCAAAAGTCTCCCGAGAAAGCTTACCCTAAAGAGCACAAAGGCTTTTGGCATTCTGGTGGCTTAACTCTGGGGACCAATTAGATGGTGGCTATTGGTTATAATCATACTTTGTTCATTGCTGTATAACATGCATTTGTGAATGTTTTGCTTTGTAATGTGTTGCCCCTGTGGTCTGGCTATTATTAATGAGTTCAATTTGGTATGTTTCGTTAATATAATGATGCCTTTGCTAGTTTTGCCTATTGTATTTTACATATTTCCCAAATTGTATTTTTTGTTGTATGGAGCTGCCCATTTCCCTTACTCTTTGTAAATAAACCCATCTCCTTAATTTGGTTCTGAACATGTTTTATTGCGGCAATTTCTTGATACCAAATCCAGTCCTGGTCATTTGGTCACAGGCTAATTTTCAAAGCACTTAAAGTTCTGGAGTGAAAGTGCAGCATGCCTCCTTGGTTCTTATAATTTTAACAATTTTGTGTAGGTTAGGGTTCCCCTAACACAAACTTAGGGTATATCTACACTGTAGAATTAATGCAATTTGACACCAACAGGAAATTGCTTTGGACTGGGCAAGGGCATATAGCATGTCCCTGGAAAGGAAGGAAGTATAAAAGGATAAATGTAGGAAATGGGATAAGGGGGCTGTGAGGAGTCTAAGAGCCCCCACTTGGCCCTCAGAACTTGAATGATATTATCTTGTTTTCCAAAGAGTGCTAGTGCTCACCAAGCTACAAATCTCAAGATTTCATAGCACTGAGCCATGTTAATTAAAGTGGTGTCAAACTGAATTAATTATATAGGGCAGATGTACCCTTAATCAATATTAGATGTAGTGTCAGCACAACCTTTTAGAAATTATACCAGTAGTTATTATACCTTATAGCAAGGGACAGGTGCTTTAGGTACTCAAGTAATGTTTTGGGCTTTGTTTATTTTTATTTCAGTTGGTAGGAAGCAACATTGACACTGAAATAAAATATCGCCTGAGCTCTTCGAGTGCAGCATTTTTCTAAATGAAGCACAGAGTGTTTGAGGACTGGGACATCCATAGGGATATTAAGGTGCTTGTTTACAAAGCTATTGTCCTCCCAATATGCCTGCAAAATGTGGACTATCTACAGACATCACATGCAACTCCTGGAACAATTCCATCAGCGCTGCTTCCAAAAAATCCTGCAAATCTCTTGGGAAGACAAACAGATAAGTGTCAGCGTGCTGGAAGAAGCAAAGACCACCAACATTGAAGCGATGATCCTATGGCATCAACTCCACTGAGTAGCCATGTGTCTGGATGCCCGACTACCATCTCCCAAAGCAGTTGCTCTACTCCGAATTCAAGAACAGAAAATGGAATGTTGGTGGACAGGAAAAGAGATTTAAAGATGGGCTCAAAGCCAACCTTAAAATTTCTGCCATAGACACTGAAAACTGGGAATCCTTGGCCCTTGAGCACTCCAGCTGGAGGTCAGCTCTGACCAGCAGTGCTGCAGAATTTGAAGAGGCATGAATGGAGGGTGAAAGAGAGAAATGTGCTAAGAGGAAGGCATGTCAAGCCAACCCTGACTGGGACCGCCTTCCACCTGGAAACCAATGACTTCACTGCAGGAGAACATGAGGGTCAAGAATAGGGGGCTCCACAGTCATCTATATACCCACCGCCAGGACATCACACTTGGAGGACAATCTTACTTGGACAATGAGGGATTGCCTAAGTAAGTAAGTAGGAAGCAACACTTGCTTTTCCACTATAGGTAGCAAAATGGTCCAGTTGTGGCAGGATTATTTGGTTCCTTTCCATGAGGAGAAAAAGAGTGCCAGAGATATTAGAGAATAATAAGGGGCAGGGTGAGAATATAGGCATTTATATGCACAAAGCATGAACCAATGTGGTCTAGTTGTTTGGGCATTTGACTATGACGGGAAATCATAGTCAGAAGAAGTCTTGCCATAAAAACTTTGTGATGGAGTCACCATACGTCAGAAGCTAATTGAAGACACACAACAACAA